CCGGCCGCGCACGCCGAACCATCTGTCCGAACCGTTCGGGAATTGCCGGCAGCCGTCGTGACCGTGACTCGTGAAGTTGAAGACCTCGGATCATCTGATCATGGCACATAGCGTTTCCGTTCCGTACCCTTTTCGGATCAGTTAACCAGGGTGGTTCTCGTAGTAGTTTTAGTCAAATTCAAGCGGCAAGAGAAAATTGACCAAAAATGTTGGCTCCGTCAATTTATGTACCTTTTTCGTTGCCAGGGCTGCCGGCCCATCCAAGACGAGAAGGGCAATGTTGAGCAAAACCTTCCTCTATTTGATATGAATAGGCGTGTATAGTTGACTAAATAATCATGAGGAGGCTCGGGGTAGGTATTCAAATGATTTGAATCTTTCCAACGGCCTCCAGCCCGTGTTGAGGGGTAGGGGGTAGTGCAAACTTCTCGTACAAATCTAAAACACTTGTAGACGACCTCACACTTGCCTCGTCTCTTCCCTATCCCACTACTCCCAATGTACTCAGGGACTGTTTGATCAGCTGCTGAGCGCAGTCAAGGACCATGGCCCCTCAATGCTAACTTCTGAAAGTGCAAGGCAAGTACTGAGATCAAACAGCTCAATTCTTGGCTGAGAATCACACCTATAGTAGGTTGAATGTGTAAGGTATGCATCGAAATTTGCACTTGCGTACCAAAGCACTCATCAGCTATAGGTCATGGTTGATCACTTCCAGAAGAAGGGAAACATGAAGGGAACCGATCAGAGAAGCAACCTTCGAAGATATAAAGGAAATTCGATTCTCCTTGTTGTGTTGACGCCCTAGCTTCCTTTACCTGAAGGCTTCGTCGGTTGAATATGAAACATATTTCAAGAGACTTCCTGTTGCTTTGCCATGATTGCGGTTTGAGAGGCTGGGGGAAGGAGAGGGGAGGGGTTGGAAGGGAAATGGACGCCTGGGAGGCCAGGCTAGTTGATATGCCTGATCGATGCGAGAGGAGATGCCGGAGGAGAGACTGTTTACTCAAGACCACTAGCGAGGAAGGCAGGAGGGCGAGGAGGACAAGAGAGGAGAGGAAGGAGAAAGCTACGGGTAGAGACGGTTTAGGGTTCAGCACTAACCAGGAAGGGATGCTTCAGAGCCTCCTCTGCTGTCATTCTCGTGCGAGGATCGATGTCGAGGCAGCGGTTGAGGAAGTCCCAGATCGCATGTTCCTCATCCACCTCCAGCCAGCCCTTGCATCCCGCATCCGCGCCCAGGGAGCTTGACAAGGTCCGCCATGTTTGCTTCAAACCACGGGCATAGCTGAGATGCAGGTCCAATGGTGGAATCTGAATGACATCAAATTAGCTTCCTCTGTTGTAGAGGAAGTTATTCAATTTCACGTCTCGATGTATAATCCCGAGGGCATGTACAGAGCGCAAAGCAACAAACAAATTCTTCATGTAGTGGGCAATCTCGCTCATGGTCAAATCTTTGACGTAAACCGAGGGCCTGTCATGTTCCAAGTATTCAAAAATCAAAGCCTGCTGCTCCTCGATAAGGATTATCCCATCAGGAGCCAGTGGCGGACATTTCACTATCTGTACAATGTTGGATTTTCCATTCAAGCTCGATATAAACCTTTGTTCCTCCTTGTACGCATCGAGTCTGTGAAATGGTAACAATCGTTTGATTGCTACTCGGCGACCATTTACCCTGTCGTAGGCCGCATATACCTCCCCGAATGTTCCGGATCCAACCATTCTTGTTATGTCAAACTGCTTTTCCACTTCATTGAGAAACCGCATGTCCACTGGGTAGATCATCAGCTCTTCTCGTATTGAGTTTTTCTTGCGTGCAGTGCCATTGTTGCCTTTGGTCAATGACATGTCCTTGTGTGCACCCTCTTGATCCAGCGATTCATCGCATGCCATGCCATTGTTGCCTTTGGTCAATGACATGTCCTTGTGTGCACCCTCTTGATCCAGCGATTCATCGCATGCCATGCCATTGTTGCCTTTGGTCAATGACATGTCCTTGTGTGCACCCTCTTGATCCAGCGATTCATCGCATGCCATGCCATTGTTGTCTTTGGTCAATGACATGTCCTTGTGTGCACCCTCTTGATCCAGCGATTCATCGCATGCCATGCCATTGTTGCCTTTGGTCAATGACATGTCCTTGTGTGCACCCTCTTGATCCAGCGATTCATCGCATGCCATGCCATTGTTGCCTTTGGTCAATGACATGTCAGGCCTGTGTTGCAATCCAAGCTGGTGGAAGCTCTGCATCCTCTCTGGTACCTCACCTCTTTCGTCCTCCATACTGTGACGTGCCGGTTGTTCTTTGTTGTCTTTGGTCAATGACATGTCAGGCCTGTGTTGCAATCCAAGGTTGTGCGCCGGTCCTTCTTCCGTCTTTGCCGGCGTCATGTTAAATTGTTTCATACTCCTATTCTTGACTTGACGTGCTGCATTGCTTGCGTTTCGTGCAGATTTTTGTTCCGGGGTTTCCAAACTCCTCTTCTTCTGTTGCCTCAATCTAGCATTTTTCCTCTTCCGTGCAAGTTTTTCTTCTTCTGTCCCCAACACTTCGTTGCCCTCCTTTTCCACTGTGAAGGGCATGCCATGCGTGACACACTAATAGCGTGACACACTAATAGCGTGACACACTAATAAGTCCGACGGTTTCAGGCCATATACACCTTCAAATTTCAAATTTTATCTTTTAGTTTTGATGTCACTGAAATCAGGTTGTGTGCGGGGATGAGGCCAGGTATCAGTATCCGACTGATCAATGAGCGCCGGGCACCCGTCCGTCGGATCGCTCGGATCAGTCGGATCGGACGGTCATGTCTTTGCGGAGACTCGAGTAAGCGGCCGGAGAGACTCTGGTGACGGTTGAACTTCCGAACTTCGAAGGACTCCGAGCCGCTTCGGAGAGAGCCTCTGGCAGAGAGAAAGAAGATTCGGAGGAAGGAACTCGGAAGCCTCGAAGACTCGTGACTGAGACGGTCCGAGTGACCGTGCGGCTTTGCCAGTCCGGGCATACTGAGTTATACTGACTCAGTTCAGTTTCCGCGCCACATTCGCCGCCGCGACTTGGAAGCGGGCTCTCGCGGCGGCGCTGTCCGAGGGCCACCGGTCTGTGCCACAGCGGCGGCCGCCGCCCGGCGGGCGGCGGCCGATGAGAGTCCGGCGCAAATATGACTCAGACAGATAGCCCCGAGTTAACACTGAAAACTCTCCTGTAAAACCAGATGAACCGTCTTACGTGGCGCTGACTCGGGGCGGCAATGACTCAGTCCGATGAAGTAGTCTGGCATGATAGTCCATACTGTGACTGTGACCGTACCGTGCCGCTACTTCTGTCGGCGCCGGGCAGTCGAGGCTCACTGACCGTGCTCACGGTGACCGATCTATCTCTCATGTGCTCCTCAATTCTGCCAGGCCGCTGGTTTCAAAGTTTCGTGTGCATTAAACACGGTCTTGAGCAACAACTGTCTTGTTGCAAACTAGTACTAGTGTCTGGCCATTAAGTCACTTGGACAAGCGTGACACACTTGAAGGTTTCAGGCCATATACCCCTTCAAATTTCAAATTGTTTCGTGTAGTTTGGAGGTCTCTGAAATCAGGTTGTGAAAAGGGGCCGGCCTGACCGAGCGGGGATGAGGGTATCTTTGTGGCAATTCAAATTTTCAGTGAGGTTTCAAATATTTGAGATTTTTGTGACAAATTTTCAAAATATAAATTGAAATATCAAAAATGAAACAGTTCAACATTGAAATTTTCCCGCCTTTTTGTATCATGGAAGACCCTCGCAGAAAAATTACTTTCACCCCTGTGAACTCTGCGAAGCCGTACAGCTATGAGGATGTGCAGCGATTGACTGAGCAAGACAAGTCATGGTGAGCATTTATCTGTTTGTTTTTCTTCGAGATCATCACGGGAAGTGATCCAAATGACGTGTTCTTGATGCAGGTACGAAAGATTCGCAGCCTTCGGTAACTTGTATGAGATGGATGACCGGGTGAAGATTGTGGTAAGTGCCCAACCAATATTACACACCCGTATCCAGGAGTACGTAGACGTACCAGTAAGCCGCCCAGCATACAAAACTCTCGAGATAATGGCTGCATACGAAGGGGGTTTCGACACATCGCAGAACTGTCCCGATGTGAAAAGGTTGTGACATGAAATGGGCACAAACAAAGATAAGTTCAGGACTCGGGAGTCGATCAGGTCTAGGCAAGATATTGACATGGTCATCTCACTGCATGGAAGAACATGCAAAACTGAAGGAAAAGCTCAACGGAAAGTTCTAAATGAACAGATACAGCGCATTTTAGCAGTCACGGTCGGAGCAGCTCGATGCTTGAAACAAAGATGATCCTCAGTACAATCGAATGATGACAAGTAAGTCCCGTGGTTCGTGAAGGATTCTTCATCCAATTCTTAAGGATGTGTTGGAACGATGAAACATTTTGCAAATCACCAATTTCATCACACTGACTGATGCATCATGTAAATATTACTGGTGTGAACTTGCATCAGATTCTGTTCATCGGATGAGCCGCTACCAAGCAGTTGATGTCACAGCAAACAAGAGAGCCGTTTTGAAGATGTTGATATTCCTGACCGTAGAGCATTCAAGATGTGGCCACATGTCACATGCTTCTTGGTTAACGCAGATACACCCTCGCCAGGCAAAAGATGGAACGTCTTCAGGATTACAGGGAGGTCGGTTGTGCTTGTACCCTGATTGTAACTCTTCTAATAAAGATATGATAACCTGAATGTGCAATTCTGTTTGTTGATTCACAGTGTTTGCGACTCGATTGCAATCATCGAGTGCTTGCTCTGTTGAACAAGGCACTCCTCTGTAGAGCCATGCGACAAGAACACTACAGTTGCACGGTAGCATTGCGACACCAAGACAGGATTGATCCGATGAACGTCTCATTTATTGATACGCAAAGGCATCATCTGCACATTGCTTCATTTCTGACTAGGTTTCTGTGCAATCGAAATCCTTGTGAAAATATCATGACAGAGGAAAAATTTGAAGCGAAACGGAAAAATCATCGAAATATGATCATAGATATAGTGATTCATGATCAACAACGGTTCTCTACAGTCATCTATGCGGGCAGGAACAGTCATCTTCTGTGCAAACGTCTCTTCATGTATCGTTGAACGGTTGAGTGCATGTAAGACTTGCCTCCATAGAAAGGTGAAGTGCATGAATCCTGACTGTAAGACTAGAAGAATTGAAAGCAAGTGATGACATGAGAACACATATCTAGACAGAAAAGTCGCTCAAGGTACAGCTGGATACAAATTTCTCACAAATCACAGTCATGCATTTGAGCGCAACGTGCAACCTACGGCAATTTGAATAAAGGGTCAATCAGAGTTGATTCTGTTCAATGGTGTATCGATTATCAATTCCTTACCTGATCATAAAAATTTCATCTTGTCTTCGAAGAATATTTGCAAGTACACTCGCGGATTGTTTGAACCTAGGGTGCATATTCCATTGCAGGATGGATGATTCAAACCTTGGCCCAACCTGTAGAGTTGAGAAAGAAGCTCGATCATCTCTTACAGGTATGATATGAGATCTTCATCTCATTTCTATCTCAGTTGGGTTGGATTCGAAGTCTCTCAATATCAAAGTTCATCCTGGTGAGTCAGGAAGGCACCATTTCATCGCTTCTTGCTCGTCCAGGGAGAGGGGGCTTGGGGAATGAGAAATGGGTGTTACCCCCACCCCCTATTGTAGAGTTTCAAACTCGTTCAAAGGTGGGTAGTTGAGGGTGCTCCATACCCACCCCACCACCCAAAATGACTCAAACGGAGGGGTTCTCGGATCCGAAGGAGTCCCGCCTCCATCACCCCCTCTCATTTGAATTCAAGATGGTTCAGGCCGACCCCACATACAGGCTTGCAGTTTTCTTATGTATGCCCATATGATTTGATCGGACAGGCCCCAGGTTCAAGGGATGAAGCAATTCACCAGCATGCTTGAAGATTTTTCATTGGAGTGGGGTCATACTTGTACCGGATGTGTACAATACATAGGGGAGAACCCCGAATGGTACCAAAAGAGTACCAAAGTCACATGGTTCGGACTGTACTAACTGGTACCAAGAAATTGTACTCAAGAAGACCCTACCCCTGAAAAAGTTCTGCTTGGCTCTTCGTGATTTGAATTCGGAACACGGTCGGAAGACCCACCCCGCCCCCACATGAAGCGTGGTATGCGTGGATTTGAATCTACCACCCTCACCGCGAAACGTTTTAGAGCTCCAAGGTCAATTGAGAAAGGCAACGCTATGGCGGGCCCCCGGGCCCGGCCGCGGGGGGGAGCCGGCCCGGGGGCGCCGGGCGGGCCGGGCCGCCCGGCAGCCGCGCGGCCGCGAGGCCCAAGTCGCCGCCAACGCGGCCAACTTGAACGGCCAGCGCCGGATCATCCGACCGTCGGACGGGCGGCCGGTCACGGCGTACGGTCACGGGCACGGTCAGGGTGACGCCAGTCACGGGGGCCACCGTGCGCGAGTCCGACGCTGCGGCAGGCTTCGTTCAACCGAACTCCGAAGCCGCAGTCTGCGGCTCACGAGTCAGTTGCCTTGCTTCGAAACTTCCGGGCCGGGTGCCCGGCCAGTGCCTGACGCCGGGACTCACCGTACCGGGCACTCAGTGGCACCCGGCCCGGCCGGCGGCGGGTGACTGTCACTGCCAGTAGCAAGGCTCGCGACAGTGCCCGGCCGGCGGCGGCCGGGCGGCCCGGTGACGGTTGGAACTTATAAGTTGAACCGTTGTCAAAGCAGCCGCGGTAGGGTAGTGACCCGGTACGGTACCCGCAGGTACCGGCGGGCCGTACGGTAGTACCAAGTATATTAACGGCGCGGCGTCAACTTTGAGCCGCTAGTCACTTGAAAGACGGTCGTGGCTGGGGACCGGTCACGGTCCGTCGTGGCGGCTCCCGGCGGCCCAGTCCGACGGTCGGCACTGCTCACCTCTGAGCTGCCACTCACCGGCCGGGCGGTCACCAGTGGCACGGTACCGCGGGCCGCGGGCGCAGACCGTATTGGCATACTGAGGCTTCTTTACTCAAAGTTAAGTTACTTACTACTATGATAGGCAGGCTCAAGTTTCAAGTACTACCGTTCCGCCGGAGGCCCCGCTGCTTCCGAGGGTCGCCGCGTCCTGCAGTACCGGTATTCATGACTGCTTGTAAGCACTACCGGTACAGGTGATCTATCTTTTTAGCTACCTGAAGCCCCGATTTAGACTCTGCAGCCGCCAAAATGGTGAGTGTTGGGCAATCATGCAGATGATGCGTCAGTCAGTGTGAAGGAGCCGAGAAGAACATGATGGGTAGGATTGAGTGGAAGCTGAGAAGATCATGTAGTCATGCTGATTGAGCTCCGAGGCTCTGTGGCCATGATGACTGGATGATGAGAGTTACCTTGAAGGATCGGACAGGCTAAGCCAGCTCCTCTCGCCTCTGACCGTACCAAAAGAAGTCGGGACTTAGCTGGGGTGAGATGGACCGGTTACTCACAAACTCGAGAGCGTTGAGGGATAAGACAGCACTGGCAGACGTGTGGTAGAGTCAAGGGGCAAGGGAGAATCTAGAGAGTATCTGCTCAAGGTTGTTCAAGCGATCTAACTCGTTTTTTTCGTTTGCAGTTCCAGGTGCGCTCTTGGAAGAAGATAGAGGAGGGGGAGGAGGAGGGGGGGGAGGAGGAGGAGGTATTATAGAATGACTTCAAACATCTGAGCCTTGTCTTGTTAGGACATCCGTAACTTGTCTCAGCTCGTGCACTCCCCGGACGGAGGGTACTACTTGTACTCCAACTCCCTTAACCAGATGTTTGTGCACGTCCCCCTCACCCCGACTCCCTACTGGTCGGAGATGTCTGCGGTGAGTCTCGGCTCCCTCTCTGCTGCTCCTCCATGTGACGAGCAGCGACAGGCCAACATCCCTCTGGCTTCTACCCCCAACGATGGCACCTACCACTCCTACTACGGCTCCGAGCACGAAGCTGGCTTCGTCAGCGGAACTGGTGGCTTCAATGTCGGCATGGTGAACGGCCAGTAAACGGTGAATTGAGCTGATATCGAATATGAGTACAAGTATTTGTTTTCAAGCGTGTCTGTGCATTACTCGTGTTCATCATAAGTTCATTCATTGTAACTTTCAGAACTCTCTTCTATTTTGCTGAGATTCGGACATTTCCGGCGGTAGTCCGAAAGTCACATCTGATAAACGTTGTAGTCATCCGTTCCACGGATTCACGTCAGCTCCCTGAGTCAATGACTGTGCTGGCGGCATTGCTCGCGTGTCGGACGACTCTGTACAGCCTGAGAAGTTCCGAAGTTCAATCAGTCTCACCTGCCGCGCGGCCAGCTGCTGCCATCAGGGTCACGCCGGAGGATCGAGTCACTCGGAGCCTGTACGGTAGTGTTACTGATTAGCCCCGGGAGCATGCCGGCGGCTCCAGCCTGACCGTACTCAGAGATGGTCCGGACTGTCCAAGAGCCGTTACTCGACCGTTACTACTGTTAAATGAGGCCAGGGGGGCGGAGGATACAAACTTAGATGAGGATCGAGATGGTCGCAGGGAGGGAGTAGGTCCCAGAGAAGGTCCCCAGGAGCGGGAAGAGCCGGCATGCGATCGCTGTAGACGAGCATCAAGCGTACAGTCTTGAGCTGTCATCGCCTTCCTGCTAGCCATGGAGAGATTCTCAAGCTTCACCCCTGACTCGCGCTACTCGGGGACGTCCATGAGCTCGCTGGCGAAGAGGTAGCATGCTTTTGCTGGTGACCTGAGCGTCTGAGACATGGCAGCATCACCGGCATATCGAGGTACTCCAAGAACTTGGAGAGCGAGAAGGAATGGCTGCGGAGGAGGTGTGGCGAGGGAGGGCCACAGGTTTCTGGCTCTGACCTGATGGTGTACAGGTTGAACGAGGGGACGCCGAGGCGTTCCTTTCGCTCCAGCTTGACAAGTCACTCCCAACCTCAGGCGCAGAGAGCTGCAGGAGCAGCGACAGACCTCGACGAGGTCAGAACCTCCCTGCTCTTTGAGCTGAACCACCTCCGACCCACCGCTCGTGATATCCCGCATGACGCTGTGGCGCCTCCGAGCTCTGAGGGGTCTGACACTGCGCATGCCCCGACTGATGGAGTAGAGAGCGACGAGGGACGAGGAAGGGAATGCTCGGCTGAGGGATCTCCTCCTTGCCCCATGAGCAGCACTGCTGAGGCCGAGCACAAGGCTGAGATCAATGGCTCGCTAAGAGGCGCTATCGTAGGCTCTGAACCATCTAGAGAGGAGCAGGAAGAGAGGTCCGATCAGTCGTCCTATGGCGCATCGCCCAGCAGCAGAAGGGCTGGCAGCCAGGTGGAGTTGTCAGAGAGTTACCTGCTGAAGCTGCTGGCGTTTAAAGAGGATGAGATAGAGTTGCTGCAGGGAGAGAACCAGAGGCTGCAGGAGTCGTTTGTTCAGTCGCAATCTCACGTCAAACAGCTGCGGCTGGAGCAGGTAGCTCATAAGAGCGAGTTCGAACTTCAGTTGGACATGGCAGGACGCAAGGTCCAAGAATTGGTGAGGCAGGAGGAGGAGCTGCGCAGAGAGCTAGAGGCGGCACAAGTGAGGATCGCAGAGCTCAAGGAGACACAGGATGACTACAAGAGGTTCGTTAGCAACTTCGAGAAGAAGAGCGAGAACCAAGATCGAGAGCGGCAGGAGGTGTCGAGGAAGCTGGACAAGAAGACGGTGCAGTTTGAAGACGTTCTGAAGCAGAACTTGCTGCTGCAGAAGCAAGAGGCCAGGCTCAAGAGCCGCCTGGTTGAAGTCGAGGGCTCCTTGCTGCAGGAGAACACCAAGTCAAACAACCTGAGGCTTGAGCTGGAGAAGCAGAAGAACGAGTTGGAGGGCGAGAACAGGAAGTTGAGTCATCACAGCAAGATGCTCGAGAGAAGGCTGAGCTCTCTCAGCATCGAGAACCAACGGTTGCAGACAGGCATGAAGCAAACCTTGTCGCAGTTGGTGGACGAGGTGCAGGTAGACGTGTTCGAGCTGAATGAGATGATGATTCACTACGACGCTCTCGCGAAGCGATGCAGATACCTTGAGGTCGGATTATCCTCCCCCTCCTTCCCCCCCTCCACTTCCCTTTGCTCTCCTTTCATCATCCTCCTGCTTGTCTTTGACCTTGCAGACAGGCGTACATGGAGTCTGAAATGAAGATGAAAGAGAGCATGATCAGTCAACACCGAGCCGAGCAGAACAAGTCTCATGCGGAGATCGCAGACCTGGAGAGGAGGCTGGAGGCTGCTGAGCTCGACCTGCTCAAGGCGAGGGATCAGATCAGCACCATGAGAGAAGAGAGCAAGATGCTTGTATCTGCCGCGGAGAAGCGATCCCACGTCCTCAGGTCAGCCCGTCACCAGCTCGCACTCTACTCACCTCTTCTTTACCAGCGAGGAGGTGGAGCTGCACAGAGATATCGGGAGAGAGAGAGAGCGCAAATTGTCGGAGATGCTCGCCGAGGTTGCTCCTCTTGCCTCTGATGACCCTGACGCTTCACTTGCAGGTCAGAAAGTCTGCGGAGAAAGAAATCTCAGCGCTGCGCAACGACAAGTTCTCGTTGGAGACAACCGTACATGATCTGAGGGAGACGGTGAGCCCGCGGCCTTGTGCTCTTGTCGGCGCCTGATCAGATGCAGATGGAGGAGGAGAGGGAGCGGAGAGCAGCAGCAGAAGAGAGGCTAAACCTCGCAAGGAGGGAGCGGAGGAAAGAAGTTCGAGAGATGGAGGTCAGTGTAAGTTTCTCATACTTGCAGCTGCTAAGCCCGCGGGCCAGGTGCTGCTGTCGAGATCCCTTCAGGCCCTGACCCCCCAGCTGGATGAGATCGACGCGCAGGTCTGTCGCGCCATTGCCAGAGGAGCAGCTGACTGCGAGCAGATCGGGAAGTGCGGGTCAGACCTGGAGCAGGGGACGTGGCCGATCAATCTCTTCCTGCTCTACCTCAACATGAAGGACCTCGATGAGATCTCGCAGAAGTTGCTCAGCGTCTTGCTCGAGGTCCTTCTCTTCTCCTTGACACGCTCACTTGTGATGTCGCTGCCTGCAGGTGCTGACAGCGGCGACGGCGTAGAAGCTAGACAGACGAGATACCGAGATGATACTACGATGCGGATGTGGATTAACGATATTCAAGGAGACGAGAAGAAAGCAGCAAATAGACGGAACAGGGCAGGAGATGAACAGGAGCAGAAATCTTCTTTACCCCAACAAAGCGATAATGATATAAGGTCAAGTGAATAAGTATGAAGATTCAAAGTGATAATGATATGAGGTCAAGTGAATAAGTATGAATATTCTATTGTGCTACATGTCTCTACCAGCACGACCAGATTTTCTGAAACGGCCTTGAATCACACATGGGTCTGGTTATACTTCAACCTGTTCTTCATGGAAAGGATCAAGTACGAGTCAGACACAAGAAAAATATTGGCGTGTCGGTCTTCAATGATCCATAATTTCGACGGAAAACTTAGAATTTTGAAATATCATGTTTTGTGTCGTTTAGCTAATTTAAGGTCAAATGAATAAACAAAAGTTCAAGTTCTCGCGTCAGAGTCGAGGAGTTTTCAATATCTGTCGTCCCACATTTGAATTTGAGAGTGACTTCCTCGTCCAATGTGAGCCTTGATTTGAAAGATACAGTCGGCCCTCCCCGCGCCTTCACACTGAGTGAGCAACTGTTGAGTTGGTTTTTTCCTACTGCTCTTTGTCCTGATCCTTGTTCCCTTGCTTGTCGTGCATGCCGTCGCTTGCTTGGTTGGAGTAGCGGTTTTTGCTGCCTCCTCCGTTTCCAAGTATTTTGTTGAGGCGCCCCGGATTGTCGGGTTTCTCCTCGTCCTCCTTGGTTTGCTCCGGTTTTCCTTTTCTTATTCAGTCATCAAAAGAAAGATATGAGGGTTTTATGGATGTCCTTCTGAATAGCGTAGCTTATAGTGTGCCCACTTTACAGCGTAGACTAGTGTGCCGGGCTCACGATGTACGATCTGGGTCTTCGATTTACACTGTCACAGTACTGAGGTTTTGCGGTTCAAGTCCAACACACGCTTTCCGAAGAGCAACTCACTAGAACCTGCATGGCTTGACACACTGATTCTCAAACAGCAGCGACGTTTGCCCGTTGGAACTTCCGCTTTACAGCTGCTTTTCTTTAACCTGTGTATGTGTGAAAAGTGCTGCACATGTAACCATGTGTTCAAGTACGCGATGTCATTCAGAATCTCAGAGCCATTGTCCTCATTGAGCACACAACAGGGAAGCATTCATCATCAAAATCTTGCCACAACCCCGTCAAGAAGAAGCTCGTTCAACTATCCGATGCAGCCGCTCCTCTACCTCCTGCTCCCACCCCTCCTCGCATGCCTCCCATAGTTGTCGCTCCTTCAGCATCCTCGCGTTCTCACGCACGTCAAAGGACCCCAACCCTCTCATCGCTTCTGCTGCCCCGACGTCATCGCATAGTCCAGACACTTGACTAGCAGGCAGATCAGCGAGAAGAGAGACGAAGAGACAGACCTGAGTTGGTCCAGAGCCTTCACTGCAAGAACAAGAGCCTCGTGCGGTGAGTACGCATCCTGTATACATCATCATCATCATCATCATCATCATCATCATCATCATCATCATCATCATCATCATCATCATCTCCATCATCTCCATCATCATCTCCATCATCTCCATCATCATCTCCATCATCATCATCATCGTCGTCATCGTCGTCATCATCATCATCTCCATCAAAATTTACGTATCATTGCAGCTCATCAGGTGTCCTCACATCATGGTGATGGTAGATAGCTGCAGCAAGCAGCTCAACAGTCTTTTTATGCGCCACCAGCTTGCAGTTCTCTTCTCTGCTCAGCAACGTCTCATCGACTTGCTCGTGCCATCTTCCGCACCTTCACTCACCTCGACAACATGGCGCTGATGCTCTGCAGCGGAGTGTGCATCTGCCACACCAGCCCGAACAGGTTCGCTTCCTTCTGCTGCTGTGGTCACCGACACCAACCACAGGCAACTCCTGCACCAGCGACGCCTCTAGCATGTCCAGCAGGCAGTCCAGCAGGCAGGGCTTGTCTGGCAGAGAAGTCCACCAGCCTGGCAGCTCCTCCAGCTCATGATCACGAAACATCTCGCACAGGACCTGGAAGGACCGCAAGCAGACGAACTGACATGAGGATCAGGACGAGGGACGAGGGTGCAAGAGAAGGACCAAGACGAGGACGAGGACGAGGACGAGGACGAGGACGAGGACGAGGACGAGGACGAGGAGGAGGAGGAGGTACCTTGTTGTCTCGGTAACTCTCGGCAAGGGGAGCGAGCAGCTGAGGGATGCCCTCCTCCATCATCGCCCGGTGAGAGCTGCGGTTAGTGCTCAGGATCGCTAGCAGATGGATCTCGTTCTTAGCCCCCGCCAGGTCCCCTCGCTCTTCGGCTATTCTCAGAGACTTGGCGACCAGCGGGACGGCACCAGCGGCTATGAGGGCAGCGATCAAGGGCTTCATGCCGTAGCACATCTCGATCAGACACGTCAAGACGCATCGCCGATCCTGGGAGCAGCCATACTCCATGGTCCGCGCCAGCAACTCCAGCAGCGTCTTATGACACTCGTGCGTGACCGCGTCCAGCTTGCGGAGGGAGAAGCCAATGAAGTAGATGAGGGAGAGGAAGCCCTCGAGGACGTCAATGGCCTGCTGGTCTGAGTGGTACGACTGCAGGAGACGGTCGAGGTCTCGCTTGACATGTCTCAGGCTGTAGGTTCTTGCAAGCGTGCTCGCGAGGTCGTAGGAGTTCACTCGGATCATCACGTCCTTCCCTGTATTCACCCCTCGCAGAATCTTAACGACCTCCTCCTGCGACAGGTCCAAGATGTCCACAGCACCGAAGCGACGCCGCGAGAGCTTGCCGCACTCGCGGGGAAGTTCGACCAGCAGAGCAGGAGAAGTAGGACGAGGCAACCAGATCTCTCGATCGTTGTGATAGGGTCCCAGGCGAAGCTTCGACCTGCCTTTGAAGCCATTGCTGCTCGTCATCTCGACCACCTCTGGAAATACCCTCCACTCACTGACCAACAGGAGACAGCAACAAGTGTCAGGATATCGAAGCTGCCGCGATTCTTTGCCTGCAGTTCTCAGCAGCAGTCACTCCAGGGAGCCGAGGAGCATCCGGAAGCTCGAAGCATCGTCGGGGAATGGTAAGTCGGTGATCATGGAGGGAAAGATCATGCACAGAGAAGGGACTCATCTGTCCTCTACTCGCTCTCATCTCCTTCCTCTCTCCTCTCCTTCTTCCTCTCCCTCACTTCCAACATGTCACGCCGCCTCCCTACCTCCATGTCATGTTTCCTTGTCGCCCGAAGACTCTTCAGGCGAGTCCGCCTCACCGAAGGGACCTGGATGATGAGGGTGGGGGTGGTGAATGTACTGGGGGGGGCGGTGAGGACCCTACCCGTGTAAGCAGGGGTACTTTCATCTAGGTATGAGGGTAGGGGTGAAGTCAGCATTGGGAGGCCATCAGTCGTGTTGTCATCAGCCAACAAGAACAAGACTACCCTACCCCCTCGGATGTTCATTCTATATCTCCACCCCCCAGAGGTAACCCCTTATTGCTCTGCATTACCCAGCTTATTTGAGGCTAAAAGGTGGGTGATAGTAGCGGTATTTTCATCCCCACCCCTTCATACATCACCCCCACCCCCTGAGATGAGGCTGCTGATTCCCAAGGTGCTGTCGAACAGGCGCATCGTGCGAAAGCAAAGTTAATGAATTAGAGGGGGTAGGGGTACCAATATTGTTCATAAATGGTGGGTTAAAAACATAGATAAGGTAGGGTGATATTTCTGATAGCATGGGTGGGGGTAGTGGGGTAAGGAAGGAGAAAACCCGATTAGAACCTGAGGAGGGAGAAGGACGAGGGAGGAGGGAGAAGGACGGGGAGGGAGGAGGGAGAAGGACGAGGGAGGAGGGAGGAGGACGAGGAAGGAGGGAGGAGGACGAGGAAGGAGGGAGGAGGACGAGGGAGGAGTGGTGGTGGTGGAGGTGAAAGTGGTGGTGGTGACGGGAGGAGTTGTCAGGAGGGATTCAAAGGAATCCACGAGACTTGGAGAGCAGAATGAAGTAGCCGTCCGTACAGCATGAGGATCCTGAGTACGAGAGACACGAATCGAATCGAAAGCAGTGAGTGTCTGTATCCATGGAGAGTGGTCCCTCCATGCAGTCAGTCAGAATGATGTCATAGCTTGATGCTTGCAAGCAATTGCTCGAATGGCGATTCTTGTGTTCTTGTCCGAGTCGATGATCTATTATGCACAGATTGATTGAACACTCGACTGTTGAAAACAACCCCTCGTCTCCGCGTTTCGCGAGCATCCCCTGACTAAAACCATCATGTTCTCTGCTATTCGTCACTTCGTGATGTCTCCCATCAAGGCGCAAGCTCTTCTACAGCATGTCCCGCTCAACCAGGCGCCAACTCCTCCTCCATTCCAATATCGCGGTCGCTTCCTCTTGTAAGGGACCTTGACAAGACCTGAGTCAAAGCTGATGGTCTGCGTGTGAATTATTGATGTACATAAACACTTCTCGATCTAAATTTCCTCCTCTTCTCATTTCCCATCCCCTTCTCCTCTCTCTCGCTCTCTCTCTCTCGCTCTCGCTCTCCTCTCCACTCGCCTCAACGTCTTTTCTGGATTTTTTCACTCTTCCACTCCTCTCCTGGCTAACTCTCCTCCACTCAACTTACTTTATCTGCTCCTGGCTCCTTCTACAGCCTTGAACGCACAGAGTCGGCTCGCATCTGCCTGAAGCCCTTGGACCTGTCGCCGCACCAACATACTCATTTCGTGCACACAGCATTGCTGACCATCACCTGTCCTCCTGCGCAGCCGCCAAGAAGGCCTGTCGAGCATGTCAAGCAGCAGCACGGGGCAGAGACGCTTCTCACCTCCTCGTCTAAGATCGGGCCCAAGAGAGGAGCGAGAGATACAATCTGCAAGGAGAGGGTAAGGAGGGGAGGAGAGAACTAGAGGTTGACTTCGAAGGGAGGGCCCTGAGCCTCCAATGTCTCTGCCATGGTAGAGCAACTGCCGGACAGTCACCACAAGGAGGACAAGGAGGAGGGATGAGAAGAAGAGAAGAAGAGAAGAAGAGAAGAAGAGAAGGAGGAGAGAAGGGACGAGAGAACAAGAGGAACAGCGCAACGAGAGGAGCAGGAGACAATGGTGTCTCCTCTTGAGGTACCTGTCAGTCACCCATACTTTGTCGAACAAGCCGGTCGTGAAGGATTTCCAAGAGTTTTCTAGGGGGAAAGTGAGGAAAGAGAGGGGCAGCGGTACACCAACAATGAAAGACAAAGCTTTGAAAGACAAAGTGCAGGAGGTGGAGATAGAACAGCCATGGAGATCAACCCCAGCTGCAAAGGAAGAGGAGGAGGAGAGGAAGCGGGGAAGCAGGGGAGCGGGACAGGAAGAAGAGATAGGGGCATGAGAAGAAGGAGGTCACCTGTAAAGTTTGCATGTGTGACGTAGACATTGATGGAGACAGCGCCAAGGGATCGGAGTAGCTCGGCACACTGCAGGCTGTGAGAAGGGAGGACGAGAGGAAGGAGACGATACCTTGATCATGGTGCTTCCGGTGATGATGATGTCATCTATTAGCACCACCTGCCTTCCACGAGGATTGCCTTCCAACACTACGACTTTCTCGGCAGCTTTCATCATGCGCGTGCAGGTAACTTGATCGAACCCTGACTCTCGCCATCATCCGCTAGTCATTAAGCACAGGCCTGAGCCGACCTTGAAAGTGCTTGCCGAATCTTTTCGCCGTCTTCTCGTCCTGCAGAGATGTCAAAGACTTCTCTAACCTTCTCTCGAGCACACAGGAAAGGCAATCATCGGAGCGTTGGGGTCGGACTTCCGTCTGGCGTAGCAGATCTTGCTCAGTCGCTTCTTGTCTTCTTCTCGCAGCTGTACATGATGATGTTCAGAGCGAATCAATTTCAGCTCGACCGACTTGTCTAGTCATGAAGGCGTTCTTCAGTCTCGTGTACTCTTCCTGAGTGTCAGGATCCCAAGGATAACTCGCACTGCTGTCGTCATGCACACTCGAGGTCGCGCTCTCCCAATCGCTCTTCGTCTCCCCGTTCTTCTTGGTCTCGCCGTGGCTCTCGACGACTCTCTCCTGCTTCCTGTGGTTGGAGTCTACGATCTCATCCAGTCGCAGCAGGATGAGTGGCCTAAAGTGAGGAGGGGAGACGTCAGGCCTGAGACGTCAGGAGGAGGAGGGAGTGACATGGAGGTCTCGAGCCGAGGGACGGTGTCATCGTCGAAGTAAAATCTCTCCTGCATCAGAGTCACGAGCACAGGGCCCGACTGCCTCCCACCTGAAGGTGATGAATGTCGTAGACCACGAGCTCGGTGGGCCCGCTTTTGGCTTTTGGCATCGCTGACAGCAGACGCGCGAGCGTGCGGGCTGTGGGTATCTCTCCCATCTTGCCACTTCCTCGTTCTCCTCCTTCGGTCTGCAGTGATGTGACGAGAGGAGAGGAGGAGGAGGACAGATCAGAGGACCTGCAGCGTGAGGGACGGAAAGAAAGGCATGAGGATCTTGAATACTGAGGCCCCAAACCTCGGCAGCTTCGACATAACGGCGAACTGCTCGTAGATGCTGCTGGCTGCTCAGTCTTACAGCAGCAGGAGCAGCAAAGAAACCATTCGGGGTCGTCGAAACAGGCCAGGAAAACAACGATGCTGCCTCGAACTTTATAGTAGTCGTCGATGTTTATCTTAGGAAACCCTCCCTGCGCTTGTCAGGGAGGTCAGGGTTGGAGAGCAAGCACCTCTGCCGGGGCTCTCCTCCATGTGATGTGGCAGGCTTGAACTGATTGCGCCTGAGCAAAGTCAATGACTTGTCGTCATGGAGGAGGAGAAGAACATGTTTCACTATCTTGTGCGCAAGGGAAGCCATCTGCGGCGCATAGAACAGGATGACCTGTCATGAGTGAACGCAAGTCAGGAGGGTTCAACAGGTTCGTCTCAGCGCGGCACCTTGGGCATGTCAACATCGTTCACGGCAATCATCTGCGCCATTCTGCCCTCCTCCGCCTCTTATCTGCGAAGCATGTAAGAGGCAATCAAAATGATTCCAATTCATCTCATCATCTTAGGTGTCAACATCTGATACAAGAGAAAACCTTTTCCTCTCACTCTCCCTTCATTTTCAGATTTCTCCTCTTCTTCCCTTCTCTTCTCCATCATTCCTATCTCGCATCATCTCCCGTCTAGTTCAACCCCCTTCCCCCGAAAAGATCCAATGTTCGCCTCCTGTCTCTGCTCTTCTTGAGCGTCTTCTCTTCGAGCGCCATATCCTTGTATCCTCCCTCTCTCCTCCTCCTCCTCCTCCTCCTCCTCCTCCAACCTCTCCCCCTCCTTCCCCCGTCCTCACTTCCGTCCCCTACACCATTCATTCATTCCCTTCCTCCTGAGGCGGGCGTGCCAACTGAGGATGCCCGGCGGGCCGCCGTGTCGGCTGAGCGGCCTAGCAAACACTCCGACTCAGACGGTGACTGATCGGATGGGGGAGAAGGGAAACGGAAGCAACTGACTCGAATGAACAGAGAAGAACTCTGACTTCGGACTTAAACGTGATCCGGGAGAGAAGAAACTCAGGCGGCAGCTTAACATTGTTCAATTAGCCATGATGACAGTATATCAACTCACTGTGTAATTAGATCCTATCTGTCCTATCACCATCATCCAGGCAGAGGGGAGGAGGTTGGCTCTACTAGGATCTCGTTCACAGCCACCGAGGCCTTCCTCGTCATGGCGTACAGCACTGCTTCCGCCACGTCCGACACATCGAGCTGGCTCTTCGTCGAGTTCTCCCCGAAGAGCGAGCAAGCCTGCTGCTCGTCGCGCATCATGAGCTCGCTCTTCACGTCCCCCGGCTGGATGTTGGTCACCCGGATGCCGTAGAGCGCCAGCTCCTGCCGCAGCCCTCGCGCCCAGGCCTCAACGAAGTGCTTGGTGGCGGAGTAGACGGCCAGGCCGGGGAAAGAGGCGCGACCAGCGTCGGAGGAGATGTTGATGATGTGACCTCCTCGGCCCTCGGCGATGAGCGACGGGATGATGGCGCCTGTCATGTTGAGCACTCCCTTGCAGTTGAGGTCTACCTGGGCTGACCAGGAGGTCAAGTCGACACACGACAGGTGCTGGTACTGCATCATGCTCGCGCTGTTGACCAGCCCCCAGATCGGCGACGAGAACTCCCGCGCGATGGCAGCGACGCCTGCGGTCACCGACTCCGCGTCGGTCACGTCGATCTGGAAGGAAGACGCTCTCCCCCCTGCGCTGTTGATCTCCTCCTCCAACTCCACCAGCCGCTCCTTCCGTCGAGCAACGAGTGCGATGTAGGCGCCATGAAGGGAGAGAGTCTTGCAGATCTGCTGGCCGATCCCCCCGCTGGCTCCCGTCACCACAACCACCTTGGACTCGAGAGCTCGAGGGCTGACGATGCCAACCGGCGTGACATGAGGCAGCAGCTTCCACTTCAGCTTCAGCTTGGAGAGGTAGGCCGCCATGAGCTCCGTTGTCAGCTGGGGGTACTGCTGGGACAGCGCGAGCTCGCTCCTCGACTCCTCGTTAGCGTCGATGCGGGCGAGCCAGGAGCTGACGTTGTCAGTGTCGTACTGGTTGTGTTGCCAGCATAAGTCCAGCAGGGTCTCGCGGGTCACGGGGTTGTGACCGCTCCGAGAGCAGGCAAGCTCGACGAGCTTCACCCACTCGTCCACGTCATGCACGGCCTTGAGGCTCGTGTAGCCGGCGCGATGAGCAGCCGTCATGAAGTTCTGGAAGGAGAGCGGCGAGGGCTGGATGAGGTGGAAGACCTTGTTGGTGCAGTTGCGGATGTCCTCTACGCAGGACACAACAAACCTGGAGACGAAGTCGACAGGCGTCATCTCGAAGCAGAGCTCCAACCCTTGTACGATTGGAACCGCCTGCGCGTACACACAAGCCTGCATGATGGATAGGTTGGAATCCTTGGGATTCCATGCCGCCGACTCGGAGTGACCTGAGATGTTGCCGCAGCGGTAGATGGCTCCTGGCAGGCCGTTCTCATGCGCCTGCAGCACGAGCTGCTCTGCCACCCACTTGGACTGCGAGTATCCCGTCTTGAGCTCCTTCCACGTTGACTTCAACGACGTCGTCTCACTCCAGGTTCTCCTCCCGCTCCCTCCCTCCGAGGGGAACACGGCGTCTGTCGACACGTAGTGCAAGGCCTTGACCTTGCCGGAGAGGCAGAAGGAGACAATGGAGGAGGTGCCGCGAACGTTGGCGGGGACGAGGGCTTCATAAGGGTAGACGAGGTTGACCTGCGCAGCTGCATGGATGACGACATCGATGTGCTGGGTCAGGAAGGTGTAGTCCTCCTCCTCCAGCCCGAGACACTCTAGGCTCGCGTCCCCAACAATCGCGTCCAGCCGGTGGTGAACGTCTGCTCGCACCTCGTCCGTCAGCAGCCCGTAGCTCTCCAGCCCCTTGAGCACCCGCGACCGGCAGGCGTCAGCTGGAGCTGCTCCCGTGCCTCCGGCCTCTCCTGCTCGCACCAGGCAGTAGACGTATGCTTTGGTGCGGCGAAGAAGCTCGTAGGCGAGGAAGGCGCCGAGGAAGCCGGTGACCCCCGTCAGCATCACGCGGCGAGTCTTGAAAAGCCTCTCCACCTCCACATGCCTCCAGAAGGCCCGCGTGTTGATGGAGATGACCTGCGAATGCGCGTACAGCTCGACCTCGTTGTCCAGGTTCCGCTGCACTAAGTCTCGCACTTCGCCCTCCACCTCCGGCGGCTTCTCGAGGAAGCTTGCTAGCTGAGTGATGTTGGGGTAAGCAAAGATGTGCTCCAGCAGCACCTTCCTTCCTCCGAAGCTGGCTGAGAGATCTTTGAGCAACGGGATGGTCAAGAGAGAGTTCCCTCCGAGGTCGAAGAAGCCTTCAGCCGTGTCAATGGCGTCGCTCTTGAGGCCCAGCACGCGCTTGAAGATGTTGGCTACCTTTCGCTCTGCCTCTGTCTTGGGTGTGTCGATCACCTCCGTGTCGTGCTTCTCCAGGATCTCAGTCAGGCTCGGCAAACGTTTCTTGTCCAGCTTGCCGGATGCCGCGTGCACTGGGATGCTGTCTAGGAACTCCATGTGGGTAGGGATCATGTAGAAAGGAAGCCTGCGCTTCAGGAGAGTTCGGATCTGCTTCTTCATGTTCGCCAAGAAGTTGTCTTCGTTTCTCAGAGCAGACAAGTCGGCCGGGACGAGGAAGGCCAGCAGCGTCTTGTCGGTGTCGGAGGGGAGGCCATCGGCGATCACGACGCAGTCATGCACCAGCTGCTTCAGCTCAAGGATCGCTCGCTGCACGGCCTTGAGCTCGATCGAGTATCCCCTCACCTTCACCATCGAGTCGCAACGCCCGCAGATCTCAAGCAGCCCGCGACCGACGAGGTACCCGACGTCTCCCGAGCGGTAGACCCTCTGCCCGCCCCGCATGGGAAACCTCTCAGCGGTAATGTCAGGTCGCTGCAGGTACTCGCGAGCCAGCATGGGCCCGGTGATGTAGATTTCCCCGTGGACTCCAGGAGGAACTTCGTTCATGCTCTCATCAAGGATCTTGACGCCGACGGCAGGCAGCAGCTTCCCGACGGGGCAGAAATTTCTCTTGAGGTCTATGTGCGCGTCGTCGGTGAGGTCCGAGCCGGCCACGTCATGTGCCTCGGAGATGGAGTAGAGGTTGTGAATCTGAGCACCTGCACGTGAAGTCAGAGGATCACGCGAGGAGCTCGAGAGCTGCTGCCTGGGATGCTCTCGCGGATCTTGTTCCTTAGCGACATGGTGACAACCTCGCCACAGAGGATGATGAGTTTGAGTGACTTGAACAGCTGCAGGTCGACGTCGGAGGCGGAGAGCATGGCCTCAAGGAGAGAAGGAGTGAACAGCATTCGAGTGATAGCATTCTAAAGCAAAGTCAGCAGCGATCGGGCCGGCAGCAGCAAGACCTTGGAGATGAACTGCGGGAGTTTCTCGACGTCATAGATGGTCGTGTCCGGCACGATGTGCAGCTCCTGACCTCTGAGGAGCGGCCGCAGCATCTCCCATACGAAGAAGACGTTGCATGCCTCTCTCTCGATGGGACTTGAGCTGTACGGATACTCCTGAAAGCGCCAGGCGTATGAGAGCACGGCTCCCCTGTGAGGGCAGCAGATCCCTTTAGGTTTGCCTGTCGTGCCAGACGAGTAGACGACATAGGCAAGGTTGTCCCAGGTGAGCTTTCCTGGAATCTGAGGAAGAGAGTGAGGAGGGACCTTGCCTTCCCATCCTTGATCGAAGACAAAGGTTTCCACTTGTGTGAAGAACGTCTGCCCGGAGAAGTACTCGGGGGTGGTGAGGATCGCGGCAGGCGAGGCATCAGTCACGACCATCTGAACGAGGTCAGGAGGATACGCCACGTCCATGGGGAGATAGGCAGCGCCAGCCTTGAGGATGGCGATGTACGAGATGCTATACTCGAGCTGCTTCTTCATGTAGATGGCTACCACCTTGTCGGGCCCTGCTCCTCTTTGAATCAGCCAGAGGGCCAGCCGATCAGTCAGCACGTCGAGGTCCCTGTAGGAGATCCTGCGATCCTGATCAACGATGGCAACTCGATCAGGAGTCAGTCGGGCCTGCCAGACATTCAGCCATGTCCCCTCATGCAGGAATGAAACTACCTGCTTTCGGAAGAGGTCGTGCAACAGCAGACCCTCGTACTCTCTATAGACGTCGGGCAAATCGCTCTTGCTCGTTGCTGGTGCGCTCGATGGCATTTCAAAGCTATTGCTTGACGAGCTGTGAGATAAACTGTTGCTTGAAGCACTTGGGGAGATACTGGGAGGAGGCATTCTGGTTTAATGGCTGCTTTCAAATCTTTGACCTGTTCAACACGCCAAGCGTCAGAAATGTTGGTCAAGGATTCTACTGGAAACCATCATTGATTGATATCATCTTAGCGCTGCACATGCCTCATGATGGTAAGAACCATGACTCGAGATGTCAACTGCTGGGAATTCCACATGCATAAGGGACCGAACGGAATAAGATGAAGGCGGGAGGGGGAAAGGGATTAGAGGAAGCAAGTCAGAACCATGGAACGAGGGATCTGCTGGGATGGGTGGTGATGACAAGCTCTGGTGGTGACTGACAAGGCGGGAAGGAGGGGGGCGAGGGACGAGGGAGCTTGGCCCTCGTGCTGTATCACAAGTGGCATGTGCGAACAAAAAGAACCACAGGAGGAAACGAAATGGGGGGTAGTCAGGGGTAGGGTAGCAGTATGAGGAGTAGCAATTGAAATAGACTTGTCGGGGTGGGGTGGTACAGGAAGGTGCAACAGGAGCAAGCATAGGGTAATGGAGGGTGGGGTGGGGTGGGGAGGAGGATCAGCGAGGGTGTTTTACCTGAGTCAGAGGGGTACAGGAGAGTTGTGGAAATCAGTAGATATGATACGGAGGGGTAGGGTACTTGAACTACCTGGATTTAAAGGAGGGTAGGGTCCTGAGGAAGAGGTCACGGCCCGTAGGGGTAGGTGGAAGGGGGTCCTCTAATGGGGACGCAAAAGATTTGGAGGAGAATACAATGTATATAACTTAAAAAAACAATTATTTAGTAAATGTTAACCTAAGAATAAGGTTATATAATGTTTATATACAGTTTGACCACGAAAACACGTTGGTTCAACTCAGATTCGTATCGTAAACTGATACCGGGCCCGGGCCCGGCCGCGCAGTGGCATCTTTGAACACAAAACGGGCACGGTTACTAAGTTGGCGGGCCGGGCGGCCCGCCGCCGGCCGCCCGGTCGACTTTGAGTAAAGATTATGTCGAGTCGACCCGGTCTACGCGGCCCGTGACTCATCCGACTCATGATGGCATGATGAACGAGTCTGTGATCAATGATCGGTGATCCAAGTCTCAGGGCCGATCGGGCCACTGAGTACCAGCCTGCCAGCCTGAGTGACCCGGCGTGAGCCCACTGGGCCAGGCTGGCAGCGGCCAGCCTGTGGCCCGGCGGCTGTCCTGAGGGCAGCCTGACTCAGTGAGTCCGATCACTCTTCATTAGTCACTGTACTGAGTCCGAGCCTGTGGCAGGAAAAGGCTCAGTGTCGCCGGAGTCGCGGCCCGGCGGAGGCCGGAACTTCCGAGAACTTGGCAAGTTGGGTGCGCGGCAGTGACGCCGGCCCGGAGTCCGCGGCTCGCCGCGGCCGCGGGGCGTCCGATGTTCCCGGCTGAGCCCGCCGCCGCGCCGGAACTCAGTCAGTTGCAGTGCCGGACCCGCCGGCCCGGCGGGCCCGAAACTTTCCGGGCCGGCGTACGGTCACCGTCTGGGCCTGTGGAAGCAACTCAGATTAAACCAGGCCCCCGGCCGCAGTTCGGAACTGGACTTGAACGGTTCCGAGGCTGGCATTGTTCAGTGAGAGTCAACGGCCCGCCGCCGAATTTGAGTACACACGCGGCCGCGACTGCCGCGAGACGGTACCAGGCTCCGACGCCGTCACTGTGACGGCGCGGCCGCCGTGTACCACGGTAGTACCGTGCCGGCGGTACGGTCGGTCGGCGCGCCGCCGCCGGGCACCGGCCGCACCGTCGGTACCGGGTACGGTCGCCGCCCGGCCCGGCCGGTACCCGCCGGGTAGTACGGTAGCCGGCGGCGGCCCGGGTACCCCGCCGCCGCGGGGCCGGCCACTCGGAGGCTCGGCGCCGCGCGCGGCGGGGGCGGCCGCCACTCAGCGGCGAGCCTGCCCTGGCAGTGAGAGTCACCGGGCCCGGGCTGTCACCCCGGCGGCGGGACGGACAGTGCCGGGGGGACGGAAGTTTCCCGGGCCGCCCCGGCGGCCCGGCCCGGCCGCCCGCCCGGCCCCGCCGGGGCGAGCGGACTGGTACCGTACTGTACTGAGCGGCGGCGGCCCTGACTCGTTCGGGATCGCGGCGAGAGCGGGCCCGCCCCGGGCACTCACAGTGCCGGGGCCCCGGCCGGCTCCGAGGACTCAGTCCCGGAGTTCCGCGGCCCGGGGGCCGGACGGTCACAGGCTCGGACTGCCACCGTGACCGTGCCAGCCACAAGTACCGGCTTCAAGTCACTGCCCGGAGTGTCGGTCCGCCGTCACCAGTGTGAACCGTCACCGTGGCAGCCGGCGTGAGCCGGGCCGGCCCGGGCGATGATCGGATCGGACCGTCCAACTCAGCCGCCGGGCCGCGGCCCACCGTCCCGCCCGGAGCCGACACGGTGGCCCCCGTGGGCCCGGTAAGCGGCCGCCGGGCCGCTGGAAACTTTCAACGGAACGGCGTCATCCGATGATCGAGTCATGGCGGTACGGCCGCGGCCCACGCCGAGCCCGGCGGCGGCCGGTACTGTAACTTAAATTGAATCCGAGTCAGCACTCCCAGGCTCAGTGCCGGCCCGTCACGGAGGCTCGGGAGCCTGGCTCGCGGCCGGGCCGAAGCTACGGCGGCGTACCGGCGGTCACCCGGTCGAATAACCGTCATAACGGTGACTCGCTGGGTCAGTGGGTCGCATAACCGTCATAACGGTGATTAGCCTTCTTACTATGATGCCATGACCCCACCCCCCATTGGTCTGATTTTACCACCCACCCCCAATTTATACCCAAGCTTGCTGACCTCGAGATCAGAAATACCCCATGATTGAGGTACCCCCACCACCTTTTCGATATAGAAATGACCATCAAATTCCACCCTTAAAATATACCCCTACCCTCAATATTTAGCCCCCTCCCACCAGGCTTCAACTGCCTCTGACCCCCACCCCCCGCCATCCTCTCTTAGCGCCCTCCTCCTCATTTGCTTAGCGCTCTGCTCCTCCTCCTTTGCTTAGCGCCCCCTCCTTTAGCTTCCCCTGGTCTCTGTTGTATTACTTCCTATTTCCTACCTACTTCCTATCTTCTGTCCCCTGCCTTCTCCTTCTCCGCTTCCCCTCTTCTTGTGCTTTCCATTTACTTTCTCGTCCTCGTTAGCATCTCTCGTGCTATCTTTCGCTCCTCCCTGCCTTCTCGTCTTAGCCCATCGCATCCGGTCTCGTTGCCATGATCAGCCTACACCAAGGTGTTGCGGGGCGAACTTGATCGGCACACGTCAGGGTGATCTAGTATCTATCGAGGAGAGGCAATGTCTGACTGTCGTCGGACGACCAAAGCGCTCATTGAGACGTTGGATGCCGTGACTCCCGTACAACCTCGAGCTCTTGCGGAAGAGAAGGGCAAGCTCAAGTCTCGCCGAACGATCCTGCAGCTCTACGAGGACGCGATAGTTCATGTGCGCAACCTCCGGCTGAAGAGGCCATGCCCGACAGGCGACGAGACGAGGCCAGCCAAGAAGAACAGTTACGCAGATTTTCTCAGGACTCCGAAGACGTCTCAGGCCTCTATTGACAGTCAGATTTTCATTCATGGCATGCTCTCCAGTCGCTCGCTCCTGTTCGTCGTGTGCTCGCTGCCTGAGCTGCAAGTCGTAGCCGCCAGTGAGGCTGTCGACATGCTGTACCGAGACTCCCCGTCAGTCGGCATCATTGGACAGAATCTCCTTCACTTCATTCACTTCAAAGATTTCTGGAAGGTGAGGAGGATGTTGCGGTCCAAGTCCCCTCTCATCCGTTTCTCCCGCAGGTCCGAAAGGTCGCCAGACAGGCTCAAGCAGGAGAGCTGGCAGGAGGAGAGAGCAAGGCCGAGGCGCTGATGCAGGAGCAATTCGAGGCGAAGCTTGCGACCTTCCTCGACGTCTCCTGTCGGGGTGTGGACAAGGAGTACATGTGTCGAGGAATCACCTTCACAGAATTCTGCTGGTTTCCAGTCCATGTCTCCCCTGGTGATGAGCCTCGCCTGCTGCAACTCGCATGACGCAACCGACAGATGACAAGATCGCCTTCATCCTCCAGGAGAAGTCCAGCTCTCCTCCTCGTCCTCCAAGGTGACGACACACCCGCAGCTATCGCCCTGACCTGCGTCTTCAGCGCTGCAGACGCGTTCGTCCCGAGCATCCCTCGCTGTCCAAATCGTTTTCGATCTCGCAACGAAGTCAGTGGGTTCGACCTCTGACGCCCTCGCTGACCCTGAGCTCGCAGCTGAGGAGGATAAGCGCGACCTTCTACTTCGACGAGATCTGCTCGACAGCCTTCCCTTGGAATGTCGACGCGGCCATGCAGAGGATCCAGGCGAACGCGCATCCTCCCTTCATCCAGCGGGCGATCTCATCCATGGCGTGGACGGAGTCAGCGAGGCGGGTGGTGCAGCGGATCACGGGGGATGTGGGGCATGAGTACAGCTCGAGGACTACTTCGAGCCTCTCGCGCGTGGTGAGAAGTGGGGTGGAGGGGATGGGCCTGCCTGACTACCTCGCAGGTCACCCGTATGTGTCAGATCCACGTCTTCGTGGACCTCAACGAGCACGGCGTGCCCTACCTCGTCTCTCACATGCGCCTCCGCATGCCGCAGTGGATCGGGTCGATCAAAACCCCCTGGGTCCTCATCGAGACTGCCAACCTTGATGGGTCTCCGACGCAGATGCCGACGGCAGAGAACGACAAGTACGTCGGGTACTACCTTGACCAGAGCTCCCCTCCTGATGAGCTCCACATCTCCGCTCGCTTCTACGAGCGGGTTGACGGGCAGTACCGCTGTTACCACACGCGAACGACGGTGATGCAACCTGACCACATACACGGACGATGCATCAAAGTCTTCGGCGAAGTTTTCAAGTCTGCGACCGAAGCTCCTTACGAGTTCGTTCACGCGCTCAACAAGTAGGCCAGCAGCAGCTCTTGTGTGAGAGACTGACCCCTCGAGTGCAGGACGGAGGAAGCGGATCCAGCGCTGGTGGAGTCACTGCGAGCAGCAGGAAACGCGCAGGCAATCGGGGAGGCAGACAGCGCGACCCCAACGCCTGTGATGCAGATGGAGAACGTGGACATGTCCACAGACCCGAGCTTCCTCGCGCTCCCCTCCTTCTATGCTGAGAGGAACGGGTATCCACACAAGTCCTCTCCGAGCACTCGATTTTCAAATTAAAAGACAAGCAAGGAATGAATTAAATTATCAACGTGCTCCTGTTTGATCCTGTTTCCTTCCCTTCTAGAACCTACATGGTGACGAACACTCCGTGTCCATGAAGTCACGACAGCAGAGGTTGTGCCTGCTCTAGTGTAAGAGGACTCGACAAGCAGCTCAAGGTCAACAAGCGAGGAGGCAGCACAGGAGCAGCAGCGAGAGAGGAGCAAGAGACAAGCGGGGCTCTCACGTGTGTGCCATCCAAAAGTCGTTAGTCTCCTGGGTGAGATGCTCGCTGTCAAAGTTGCGATGGTTGACGATCCCGTCCAGCTAGCGGCAGCTGTCAGTCATCTGGGAGACTGCCGAGCTCTGCTCACCTGATTCTGCAGCCCGCGCATGCGACGACGAGCAACATCGAGATCCTCTGGCTGTGAATTGAACGCGATGACCTGGCACAGCCGTGAGCAGCAGGGAGGAGAGGAGCTGCTTCAACTCACGTCTTCTAGCGACGGCTCCTTGTCGTCAGCGCTGACTTCCTCCGATCCTGGACGTCGTAGAGCATGCCACTGCCTGCGGGCAGAGTTAACGAGGACGGGGGAATAAGATGGGAGACGGGGGAAAGTAGAGAGAAGAGGAGAAGGGGAGGCAAGAGGCAGCACAAAAGAACATGGGGGGATGACCTCTTGGCGATGTTGAGAGCTTGCTGGTCGAGAGGGTCCGACTGGTCGAGGGATGCAGCGGAGGAGACGCACTCAACTAGCTCCTCTGTAGTGTTGGCGTACTTGCAACCCCCGTCGAGCACCTGCCACATCTTGTGTCGCATCTCACTTGCCATGATCTCTTCCTTCCCGGTCAGTGGACGATGCGTCCTCAGGTTCTCCTCAGTAAATTCCGACGATCCCCCAGTGCTCTGACCTCCCGGGTAGGTGCCGATCCCACCCAGGCTTCTTCTCCTCCTCAAGCTGCCCCGGTCGGCATCATGAATCGCTTCATGGTAGTCAGCGAGGTCAAGCCCCTCGGCTCCTAGCGAGTTCTCCTCGCCCTGCAGCGCATGTTCGAGCACATGCGATCTGTCGGCCTCCTCAAGTGCTGCTTGTCGACGTCTGCCGTCCCGCAGAGCTTGTTGGACTTGCTTACGAAGATGCTCGTGATGGAAAGATGACGAGGGGAAGAAGAGGACCGATGGCTTGGAGGGACGTGGACGGACGAGCGCCAAGACTGCAACCTAAAGGCAAAGGCTGACGTCAGCGCGTATATGTCAACCTGCTGCAGCTTCTCTCACCACAGCAAGGAGCAGTAAGGCGATGCTTCCCACGTCTTTCACTCCCATCTTGATCAAACCCTCATGAGCTGAGAGGAGCGTCAGAAACATCCCGATCTCAAGGCCTATTGCTCTCATGCATTGATTTCAAATATTTCAACCTCACTTGCTCTTCTCCCTTCTCCCTTCTCAAATCTCTATCTTGTCACCTTTTCTTCCCCCTCCTTCGTCCCTTCTGGCCGATCACTCCAATCTTCTCTCTCCCATCGTCTCTCTCCTCTCTCCTCTCGTATCTTCGCCATAGCTGTCCAAAGCGCTGTCTAAATGAAAGGCCATCTTGGGTATAAAATGTAACGGTGTAACGGCCGGGGGGCCCGGGCGTGACCGTCACTGGACAGTGACGCCCGGCGGCGGGTTAGCCCGGGCCCGGTCGATCGGCCCGGTGAGCCGCGGCGATCGCTGAGCCTTGAGGGCTTCTCGCTCTTTTACTCAACTCAGTTAAGTTGAATTAAAAATCAGTACGAGGACCGTAATCAGGAGAGTAGAAGAGGCCAGTAGGATGCCATGATGATGATGATCGCAGGGATGCGCGGCCCGGCTGAGGCAACTTTCCGATGATCTCACTGAGTCAGCCCAACGGTTGAATGGGTGACGGCCGTACGGTACTATATGGGCCCGGCCCGGCCGCCCGTCACGCGGCGGCGGCCGCACCGGGCCCCGGGGCCTGGCGGGCGACGGACTCGGACAGGGGGCGCCGCCGCGACTACCGTACCGTACGGTGACGGTCCCGGAGTCACTAAGGCGGCTCAGAGGCTCAGAGGAGGCTTACCGGCCTTCAATCTCAAGACTCCCTGCCACGGAGTTTACTCACGCACTTGATCCAGGAACGTAGGCCATCTTTCCACGCTTAGGGACCGGAGGCTTCTCCTCTTCCTCCTCTTCCTCCGTCTCATCTTGCCTCTCACGCTTTTCAGCCACCTCAACGCCTGCCGCTCATGTCAATACCTGAAAGCTGTAAGGACCGTCTTCATGCACCTTGACAGGGGTTGACCGCCTCCCCGCCTTCTTTTTCCTCATCCTCCTCATCCTCATCCTCATCCTCATCCTCCGACTGAGTTTCAGAGTCATCGCCGGTTGCCTCTGCATCCTCCATCGCCTCCACTGCACGATCGGGTCAGTCTTATGCGTCACGCATGAGTTGCACATCCCCTCGCAATCAACCTCCTACCTGCATCATATCCATCTGACTCTTCGTCTGAGCTTGCGCTACACTCAAAGTTGTCGTCGTCCTCGTCATCATCATCGTCTTCGTCTTCGTCCCTAATCCTGTCCATCGGTGTCAACGAATCACTTCTGCAGAAGTTTCTAATTCACTGTTCTGCTTCGGTTCCAGGAGGCTTTTCTGCGATTTCCTGCTTTGACTACGTGGCGTGAGGACATTGACAACAAGCTCAAGTTAAATTACCTTGCTCACTTTGTCATCTTGAACATCCTTTGCTTGTTCTCGAGCTCCAAACTTAGCCGCCTTGATGTACTCTTGTATTCTTGGTTGTTCGTCCTTGGCGATCATGGAGAATTCGCATTTCTCACCGTTGCTCAATTTGAAGACAAGGTTTACTGTTCGGTTTGTGATACAGTCAAACTCGGCACTTTGAATATCGCTTTTGTCAATCCATTGGAATTTTTGAATGAAAAACAACCCCGCACGGAGTGGAAACAAGAAACCATCGTGAATCGACTTGATGTTACACTTCACAGCCGCATCATTCGCGATGCTGCAAAACAAGTTCGGGTCTTGCTGATCGACTGCTAGATTACAGAGAGACTGCAGGAATTTAAGGAGGAGGACACAAGGAATGTCTTGAAGGTCTGACCCATCAAACCTCTCCGGCAGCAAGTGCTGAGGTGCCACCAGCTCAGCAAGGACTTTGTCGGTCTCCTTGGACTGCAACGCAAGGAACTTGGTAGAGGACTTGCCGACTGGGACAGCTTCCGACAGCAGGGCAGCACAGATGATGGTCTTGACCTTCTGCGAACCGGAGGGAACCGGAAGCTTCATCAAGCGGCTCACGCTGCTAACAGGAACCGAGCAGGCCGTCTCCCCTTGTTTGCCGATGAGTCTAATGGACGCCCTTCGAACCTCTACATCGAACTTGCCACGTGGTGCGAGGAAGCTCACGGAGGGAAGTTTGGCTGTGCATACAGGAAGTTACAACATCATCATTCTTCACACAATCACGCGTGTACCAAGCAAGGCAGATTTATCCTGCTCGACTGTAGAAGGAGTATCAGCTCGAAGATTCTCAAGTTTCTTGGGAGATGCGGAAGCCGTGAGTTCTTGATAGTCTGCGAGAATGGCGTTGCAGAGCTCGTTCACTTTCTCTTCCGCAAGAATCTTTCCACCGTCCTTGAGTATCTTCTGTAAAACTTGCTGCGCCTGTAAGTATAGAGACGCTCAGTCATGCTTGAGACCAGCACAACTACCCCACTAGGGAACACAAACATCTCGAACAAATCCAGATGATCCTCGTAGCACGGCTCTAAGCCCTCCCTCCCTCCCTCCCTCCCTCCCTCCCTCCCTCCCTCCCCATCACACACACTCTCTCTCTTCCTCCCTCCCCTTGCCTCCATCTTCGCTTCTCTCACCTTCACAAACCCAGCATGCCCGAGTTTCTCCATGCTCGTCGGCTGTCTGGGTGAAGGAATATCCCTCACAGGGGTGGTGTATTCCACCATCTGCTAAATTGTGGGGTGATAAATGGGTATTTTGAGGGTGGGGGTCATAATGTAGGGTCGTAGGGGGTCCGTTGGTCCAAAGGGCGAATGGCAAATTGGCGGCAAAGCCGATAAAATATATTTTTTATTATTGAGTAAACTTTATAGTAGTAATCTCAGGTCCGCCTCGGGAAGGTGTCGGAGTTGGACATGGAGGTCGGCCTAGAGGGGAGGGAGCGGAGGGTCATGCTGGATGTCGGAGGTCGGCTATTCCGCACGTCAGCTCGCACCATGTTCGATGCGGTGAATCTGATCGGCTGATCCTCTGCTCTCCTAGACTCATGCCCCAGCAGGACCCTCAGTCCCTCTTCCATCAGATCGCCATGGAGGTGAGCAACGCCGAAGCCTTCATCCTAAAGTTCATCAGCGAAGGACACGTGCATGTCGATGGTTTAGCGCGAGGTAAGGAAGAGAATTTTGGTTGGCAGAGTTCCATGAGAGGTGTAGTTCGGCAGGAGGCGGCGACAAGGCTGGCACCGTTGAGTAACATTGAGAGCTTCTCTTTCGACGTTACAACCTTTTCCAACTCCCTGGTCGAGATGCATCTGGGGCGGCAAGCGTATGTTGCCTGGGATCTATTCTTTGATCGAGATCCCGCGTGTTTCTCCCGGGTCCTCGACTTCCTCCGCACGGGCAACCTGCTTCAAGCTGATGGGGTTTACTCGGAGAGGCTCTTTGAGGAGTTTCGCTTCTACAAGTTGAGCCCCAAGCCCGTTGAGCTTGACCACATCGCGCGCACTCGCTTGCATGCCATCTACGGGACGGCACTAGGAGAGCTGCAGGACCTCATCGTCAAGGAGATGGTCCGCATGGCAAGCCAGGGGAGAAGCTGCGTCAAGCTCGGCATCGTCTCGCGCCCATACGGCATCGGCATCGAACCCTCAAAGAGGTACCCCTCCCCTCTTTGCCCTACCTCTCTCCTGATGGTTGGCAGCATGTCAGCATGCGAGCAACTTGTGCGGGTCTTCGATGTCGGGGTCTGCCTCGAGTGTCCCGAGCGAGAGGGTGACGTCTGGCTCAGGACATCAACGACGACATGACGCAGGTGATGTCCATCTTCGAGTGCCGCGAGGTTGTCGAGCCTGCCGTCTGTTGCCCCTCTCATTCACTGCAGGAGGTTCGCTCCTACATGGCTCGTCAAGGTCGAGCAAGGGAGACGACGCCTTGTTCCTCACGCTCCTAACAGGATTGAGGTGCGAACATGGTTACTCCCCCGGCAACATCTACGGCAGTCTGGTGAGCGACAACATCGCCATGCCTGCCTGACTGAGCCCTGCAGGTGCCGAGCCATGCGTGGTTCGTGGTTGGGATCCGGGGAGAAGTGGTGGAGAGGAAGGCGAAGGTGAAGATGCAACGGCACAGGCAACGAGAGCTGACGCGAGTACAGGAGGTAGCCACTACGTCGGAGACTTGGGTCCCATCGTTTCTTGAGTAACTAGCTCCTCGCGCTCTCCGTCTACACCAAACAAGCAGGGAGTTATGAGGAACGGCGTCGGATGGCCTTGAGCTCACTTGACGGGAGAGACTCTGAGACCAAGTCAAAGGATGCAGCATCGACCTTCACCTACTGACCTGCACCAGTTGGGTCCACGGCGGAGGAGCATAGTCTTGCCAATGTACTCGTACATGGAGAAGACAATGGAAGCGAGCGGACCCTGAAACACGCAGAGTCAGCCGACAAGTTGGCGGATTGCCAACACGTACAAGGTAGAAGACTCTTGGAATCCATCCCTTCATCAGGGCCAAGAAGCCTTCCTCACGAGCAATCTGCGAGCAACCTCATCCACGGAAGCACGACACAGCAACAGCACCTTCATTATCGACTGTACGAGCCCTTGATAAGGAAGCTTGCCGTCCGCGTCTGGTTTCTGATTGATTCCATTAGACCAGCTAGTAGGAGACCGCATTCAATCCACCTGCGTCATCAACCTGGTCTTTACAACGTCCACAGGAGTCATCACGATAGCGGCGAGGGCACCTGCAATGCATTAGTAAAGCACGCGAGCCGATCACACACATGCTTCACCTCCCAGCGCTCCCATGGCGAGAGTCTCCTGCTGGTTGAGCGACTTGTCGAACTGCTGCTCGTAGAACTGGATCGGCCTCAGCCCTCGCACTTCGCCTTCCATCACACTCACCGTCTTGAACATCCTGAAGAAGATGAAGGAGAACGCATTCCAGGGAACGTCTCTCAAGACGGTGGCCTGCATCGGCGTCACTCCCATGGAGTCAAACATTAAGATCGACCTTGGAGCCGACGAAGAAGGCTGAGACCCCCTTCTCGTTCCAGTTCCCCTGACGTCGGATGTTAACGCGGGGAACAATTTCAGAATGAGCCATCACCTTGCAGGCTTCGATCCAGTTGCTGTACAAATCGGCTTGAACTGGTTGCTTGATGCGTTCCTGTGGGACCCTGATAGCAGAAGCAGCAACGGCGCCAAGAGAAGCCGAGCAGATCTCCACAACTACACACCAAGTCAACGACCATGCCACCCTGCGTTGCTGCTGCATCAGCCTGCACTAACCCCATGGCTTCGCCCAGCCCAGAGCTTTATCGCTGATCGTCGCGTTCAATTCCTTCTTGGATTTCTCATATACTGTAAGGCAATCAGAAGGGACTACGCGCGCTCTCAGAGCTCGACCGATGAATTGAAGGGCTCCAGCAGGCATGGCGCCGATCATCTGCATCCTAACTCACAGGAAGGCCCAGCCAAGCTGCTCGAACCTGAGGAACGATGCCCTTGCAGAGATCGCCAAAGTTTGATCTCAGGCCTCCGCGCACCTACCCAGCATTCATGTCATGGGCGAGCAAGGAAACGCCAACTTCGCATCACCTGTCTGCGCGTTCTGAGAGTATCGATAGGGTGAAGAATCGTTTGTGCGCACAAACGTGCGAAGGCGCCGCCTGATCGGAGCATCACGCGCGCATCTTTCAGCTGCATCCTCCCACTCACCCCACATTTTCTCACTCTGGGTGAGGTAATTCTTCCAGCGATCACCCTGCCCAGGGACAGGCCAGTCAAGCAATCTAGGGCAGGACGCACACTGCAAGCGGGTCTCAACCTTCAAGCTGCAGACTTCTGCAGCTGGCTTCTTGGCCTCTTGCTCTGCATCACAAGGCTCAACGCTCTGGATCCCGTTCGTCCGGATCTCACCCTTCGCCACCTTGGGCGGAGCTCGTTCCTAGGAATGTAAATCAGCTTCTTGGATGCCACAGACAAGTTCCCAACCTCCTCCTCGCTCCTTGGAGCCTCCTGCTGCTCGGCATTGACTGCTTGTAGGCTAATGCATAGAAGAGCTGAACGCAAAAGCGTCAAACCCACACAAAAACATTTGAGTCTAACACAATCCGACACTTATGAGTGAGGATTTTTTGAGAGGTTGGCATTTCATGAAGAAGAAACATTGCAAGTCGGAAGAGGAACGGATGGTTACGAGTGGCACTAGATGTTAGATCTAGACGACGAGCAGATCGAAATTGTGACACCACAAAAGATCGAGAATGTCGAAGTCGCGAAGGATCAAGATGGTGATGGTGGTGGTAATATGTAATAGCGATGAAGGCGATGTTGGTGATATTGGTGACGTTGAGAGACTCATATTCTGAACATCATGTTGCCATCACGTATTGTTCACCTCCCCTCACCTGCGCATAGCGCGACAGCGACTGCAAGCTTCACGCCGCCTGCGGCCATGACAGACCCTCACGCTTGGATGACCCACCCCCTTGTGGAATCAACACCCCGCAGGGATACCCCACCGGTCATTCTCTCTTCTTGTGTGGCAAATGACCCCTGGTCGGATCACCACTACCCACCCATCTGAATACCTACCTCCACCGGACCTTTCCACCCACCCCAACTGCTACCTCCTTCGCCCTCTAGTTGTCGTGAACGAGATCACTACCCCCCATTAGCCCTCAGACCACCGGTGTATTGCACGGCTAGCAAGGGGGTCTAAATCGTCTTTATGTGCTTGGGGGCGTAGTTTCGAAGGGGGTAGGTGGGTACCCCCACCCTCCCTTTACACCGAGCAAAGACGTCGCATGGGGCGGATCAGAGGCCATAGGGAAATTCCTTTCCCTTCCACTAAGGGTTCTTGTGTTGTCAGAGTTCAAATTATACATATTAAATTTATAAAATACAGATTAGTTTGGAGATAAATATCACATTTCTTCGATAACAAACCCCATCGCGAAAATATTGGTACAACACACGCTTCATTTTCAGACGGATCTTCACATTTTTAATTAGTATTCTGTGAAGTTTCAAATATTAGGCAAACATTCATAATCGCTCTAAGAATTCTTTTTTCAGCCCCACGAGATTCCGAGCCATCACCGGCCATCCCAGTCCACACAAACTTTGGCCTCTATAGGTACGCATCTGCTCTTCTAGTACGCATGGGCCGACTGAGCCGGGCCCGCCCCAGGCAGTGCTCTGCGGCTCCCAGCGGCGAGGTGAGAGCCTGTCAGTCACTGAGTCGTCAACTCACTGATGGGTAACTTGTGACTCGAGAGATTTATTGTGATCAAGGTGACGCGTGTCAGTGTAGGCAGTGACTTCACCGTCAGCTACACTATACAGGCCCGGGCGCTCACGCGCTTTTGAGGTAGTAGACCCAAGGAGGATAGTCGGGCTTGAGGGAGGACACGATCAGCTTGCCTTTCGCCTCCTTGTCGGTCGTGGTGATGTCGATGAAGTGCTTGGCGCGGCCCTCGACGCGGATCGATTCCTCCTTGAGCGAGAAGGCCGGGGAGTCTGTCTTGAGCTCGAACGACTCCTGGTCAAGGAAGGGGTTCTTGAACTCCAGCTTCAGCGTCCCCGCCACGTCGAAGGGTCCCTGCGGGTTGGGGGGGAGCCCATGGCCGTTGAGAATGCAGAGGTACTCGCCCGCCTCATCCGACTGCAGCGTTAACTTGGCGTTGCACTCCCCGAGCTTGCTGGGCTCGAACGTGACTTCCACCTCCACCTCCACGCCTGTCTCCTCCGTCGCTGCTGGTGCTGAGATGGTGGTGGGTACGGAGAAGGCAGGGTCGTCCGCATGGCACTGGTAAGTCGCGGCGGACTTGAGGAAGTGAAGGAAGCGGAAGGTGGCCTTGTGGGAGCCCCCCAGCGAAGCCTTCATCTGCATTGACTTGTCTGCGCTGGCAGGGGTCGCGATGAGCTTCAGCTCGAACACAAAGTCCCCGAGCTCCTGGGAGGAGAAAGTAACCTTGGCCGTTGATCCGGAGTCAGGGAGTAGAGGACGGTAGATGAGCTTGCAGGGCGTCTCGCCTGACTCGCGCAGCTGATACTCGCTCTTGAGGATGACGTCGCTGGAGTCGCAGGAGGAGGCAATGGTGACCACCTCCTTGAGCGGGTTCGCCAGGTTGATCTCAAGCTCCTTGGGCTGCCGCACTTGCGTCCTAAGGTCGAAGGAGCCGAGGATCTTGGTGGCCTGAGCGCGAAAGGTAATGTTGTAGAAGAGATACTCCTGCGTCTCCTCGCTCGTGAACGTCACCCGAGCTGATGTGCTCCCCTCCACAAACGTGTGGAACGAGAGCGTGTAAGTTCGCTCCGCGTTGGCGGGCACGTCGATGTAGCTCGCTCCCTTGAGGGTCGTGGTCCCCTGCGGCTCCGGCTCGATCCTCACGATGAACCTCTGCGGCCGGTTCATCCAGTTCTTGACTGCGAGAGGCTCGCGGTGAGAGGCCTTGCACTGCACCTCCTTCTCGATGCTCCCTGCTTCCTCTGGCGGCGTCGCTTGCCCTTCCAGCTTGAACAGCACGGCCGTTCCGTTGGGCAGAGGAAGGAACAAGCTCCCTGTGTGCACCTTAGCGCGTTGGAAGGACGAGGCTTCTTCCTGCTCCCCTCCGGCGTCGGTCATGAGGAGAGGACAGTAGGTGACCTGACAGCTGCTGGACTTCCCGGGAGGGATCTCGAAGATCTCTGGGGCCGACCAGTACTCGTGGTCTACGGTGGGGACGAGCCGCCATGGCATGTCCGTGGGGTTCTCGATGGGAGGCGTCTCGACCGTGAGGGGTTTGCGCACGGGAGTGAGGAAGGTGATGGCGTCCTCGCGCGGCTCTTGGAGCACGCAGATGCCGGTGACGGTCATGGAGAGAGGGTCAGCACCTTCCACGTAGAGGGGGACCGAGTCGCGTCGGATGTCGTCATGAACCTGCTGAGGGTGGAAGCGAAACTCGAGGGTCACCTCGTCGTTGGGGTTGAGAAAACCTTCAGTTGGCTCCACGCTGAAGTCAGGAGCGAACATATCTGATGCCCAGCGCCACTTGGTCCCGATGTCTCCGACGTTCTCAAGTTGAACCTGCTTCAATCGTCATGCTCTTGCTTCATCCCTCCCCTCCCCTGCTGCTCCCCCTGCCCCCCCCTCTCTCTCATCCTCTCCCTCTCCTCCCCTTCTCCTCTTCTTCGCCCACCTTGCGAGTCGTCCTGCTCTTGGCAACGACTGCGCCGAAGAAGAGCATGTCCGTCTCCAGCTTGAGCTCGACCCCGACAGCTGACCCGCTGATGACCATGACGGTCTTGAGCAGGCCTCCGACTTCGAGCCGCAGGTCCTCGGCGAAGGGAAGCATGCGCTGCTGTGGGTTGAAGGAGAGGTCGATGTCGGTAACTTCCTTGGGCTTGAGGAAGAAGCTGGAGGGGTGGAGGGAGATGCCCATCTCCTGCAGGCGAGCAGCTGATTCAGCGATGGAGCACTTGGCGAGCACAGGCGAGAAGTTCTTGATCCTCACGCGCTTCTCCGTCATCGTCCCCACCTTGATCGCTCCTAGTGCCAGGTTGAACTGCCCGGGGTTGAGAAGGGAGACGTCGCACTCGTGCCCTGACCCCGTCACCTCCACCTCGATGCGGTACAAGCCGTTGACCTTGAACTCGATGCTCTCGCGGTATTCTTTGAGCTCCCGGGGCATGAAGACGATCCGGATCTCCTCCATGGCGCCGGGGGAGAGGTTGGTGGGAGGAGCATCGATCTCGAGGTGCGGCTTGTTGTCGAAGTTCACGTCGTAGCTGATGTCCTGCGTGTCCTCGTTCACCACTCGCAGCACGTACACGTTGGGCTCCACCCCCTGCCGGTATAGGAAGCAGGGCCCGAAGGCCACCTTGTAGCTCGAGAAGCTCAGCTGCGGCCGCCTGCCGCTTGCAGAGACGTCGAAGGAGAACTTGGGGCCGTTGATGATGTTGAGCAGCACCGGGTGATTCATCATCCTCGCGTCAGAGGCCGGGTGGAACGCGAGCTGAACTTCAGCCTTGTCGCCCTTGAGCACTCGACCTCGCTCGGGCTTGATGGTGAGGAGCCGGTGCTTCTCCGAGAGCCACTCGTACTCGATGGGGTACTTGCCCTTGTTAGTCACACTGATCACCTTCTTCCTCCAGTCGTTGACGTGAACCTCCCCGAAGTCGATGGCGCTGAGAGTGGCCGGGAGGATGGGGAGCTGACCACTCTCGTCCTCTAGCACGACGCTGACGTGGTTGTCGAAGCCTTCCCCCTTGATGTTGATCGCCAGCCGCGTCGCCTTCTTCTTCACCGAGCACACCGCGTTGAAGTTGTACATCTTCTCCACCTTGGGCATAAACTGTACGGTGAGCGCGAGCTCCGAGTCAGGGGCGACGGTCCCGCTGGAGGGAGAGATGGAGACGACCGGAGGAACCTCCTCGGCCCCGTACGTCTTCCCGTCGAAGGCGAAGCTGAACGGGATGTGCTCCTTGTTGACGAGCATGACGGTGTGCGAGGCCTTGTGGTGGAGGAGGAGCGAGTTGAAGTTGCAGAAGGTCTTGTCGAAGTACACCCGCGGCTCCTTCACGTGCCCCACCAGGATGAAGGGCACCGAGATCTTGTGCTCAGGGATGTGGAGGCGCCAGAAGGACTCAAGGAGGGTGTCAGTGTCGGGGGTGTACTCGAACACGATCTCCGTCTTCCTCCCCGACAGCACGATCCCTTCCTTGTGAACGCACTTGAATGCCTTGGCCAGGTGGGCGACGGCAGCGCCTGTCCCGTCCTCGCACTCCCAGCGGAACTTGTAGGAGATGTTGGTGGGGTTCATGAGGAAGAAGTGCCGCGTGTTCCTCACTTTCGTCCCCAGCGACTCGAACTCGATCACCCGCGAGTCTGCGTCGATCGCTTTCCCCCCCGGTGTCTCCAGCGTCGGAGGCCTCCGACCCCCCCGCAGCCAGTCGCTCTCCTCCAGCTCCACGTGGCACAGGGGACGTGCACTCTTGCCCGTCACCTTGAACTCTGGCATGGGCTGCGGAGGCTTCACGACCTCCTCCGCTTCCTCTCCCTCCGCCTTCTCTCCCTCGCCCTCTGCCTCCTCCTCCGGCCTGAGGTCCAAGTTGGGGATGAAGCCGACGATCTTGCGTTGGTAGTTGTCGACCTCGACGGGAGCGAACCTGACGGTGAAGGCGCAGGGGGTGCGAGGAGCGATGTCGGTCGAGCTCGGCTCCACGGAGAAGGGAGACTGCGGGTCCACGTCCTCCTCTCCGTCCGGCATCAGAACCTTCCAGTCGATGTGCAGGGCCACGGCCGACACGTTCTCGAGCACCAGCTTGTGAACTCGCTCGCGGTACATCATAGTCTCAGAGAAGAGAAGAGGAGGCAGCCCTTGCTCCGGGGACCACGAGTCATCCTCCGTCACCAGTTTGTACCTCAGGTAGTCCACCGTGTAGTTAATCTTGATCTCGTCCTCCTTCACCTCCTCCGCCTCTTGCTCGCTGCCCCCCTCCTTCGTCGCCTCCTCTCCCTCCACGGGCGTCACCTCCACAGCCTTCTTGATCCCTTCCCATGCAGGTTCCGGCTTCACCTTGGTGACCTGCAGGAAATGATCACAAGGAGAAGGAGGAGGGGGATGGGGTCGAACCATTTTAAGCTTCTTGCGACGAGGATGTCGAGGAGAAGGAAACAGCTCAGCATCCGCATCCTCCACGTCATGCACTAAAGAGGTCTCGCCACCATCCTCCATCCACGTGATCTCCTTCATGCTGTTGTCCCAGTCGTACACCTGCCAAAACGTCATCAACACCACAACTCCTTTCCCCCCCCCCCGCCCCTCCTCTTCCTCCTCCTCCTCCTTGTCCTCCTCTCACCTCATCCTCAGTGTATCGAATCTTTCTGTACTCCATCGTCACAAACGTACGTCCTCCAGCAACCACATGCTTTCCGAACAGCGCGAGCTGGAGCTGCTTGGAGCTTCCGGGCTGGAGGTGACCGAGGGAGGGGGAGAAGGAGAGGAGGCGACTATCCTTGACGTCCTTCACGCAGAAGCGGAGAGGAGAGTCAGTGGTGTTGCTCACAGTGAAGCTCATAGTCTGCGTCTCCCCCAGCACGACGGGCGGCAGCTGGATCCCCTTCTTGACGTTGGGCTCGTAGGCGAGGTCCTGCAGGACTCCCTCCCCGTGGAAGCGAAGCACCGACTTCTCGTACTCGTTGTGATGCACCGAGACCTCGAGCAGCGCGAGGTACTCCCTGCGAGACTTGGGGCGGAACACAACCTCAAACTTCCGCTCCTCCTGGCTGTTGAGCAGCAGCTCGGACCCCCTGTGAGCGAAGAAGAAGGACTTGACCAGGTCCTCGTCCTTGCCTTCCGCCGGCAGCACCTTGCTGAACTTGATGGTGGCGGGGAGAATGCCATGGTTCTTGATGCTGAACACATGCGTGCCCTCCTTGCCCACGATCACTGACTCCATCTCCACCTGCTTGTCGTCCGGCGATCGGCTGCCCATGATGATGGAGACGCGAGGGAGGGTCCCGTCACCTCGCAGCTCGAAAGAGAGGCGGTTCGTCCTGTCGTCCGTTCCTCCCTCCACCACAGCCTCGAAGAGCGCGATGGAGGTCTGGAGGGACGAGGGCTCGAAGAAGACCGTCGCGTACCTGTGCTCGTGCATGGGGATAGAGAGCTTGTCGGGCGCGAGGATCTCGAACGCGTTCCCGTCGGTCTTGTTGGTGACCTGGAGGCTGACGGTGATGGCGACCTTAGTGGGGTTGACGATCTTGATGCGAGTCTCGGAGCGAGACTTGACGAGCCGAGGGCCGAAGTAGAAGCATCGCTCCTCCTCTATGAACGTGTTGCTGATCAGCTCCGTCGGGTCAGCCGGCGGCTTCCTTAGCACCGCCGCCTCCTCGAAGATCTGCAGGAAGTCGTCGTTGAGCAGGCCGGGCACGCAGCTCTCGCCCGTGAGCTCGTAGGGGAGGCCGAGGGGGTCCAGGCTGGGGTCTCGCTCAGAGACGCTGATGCCGAGGAGCTCGCGGAAGGTTCGCTGACCCTCAGCAGTGAAGGTGACCGTGACAGTCTGCTTCTCTCCGTTGGGCGCGATGCTGCCGGACACTGGAGAGACGAGGAAGTTGCCGACCTTGAGAGAGCCGTCCGCTGACTCCTCCGCTGCCGCCTCCTCCTCCGAGGACGTCGGCGGGCGCGAGCGGTCGGAGATGGAGGAGATGCGGAAAGAGAAGTCGAACTCACCCTGGTTGACGATCTCAAAGGTGCGAGACTTGAGGGAGTCGTATACGAGGCTGCCGAAGGCGATGCCCTTCTGAGGGAGCACCCGGTACTTGGAGAAGACGCTCCTCACGTTGAGCTTCACGGGGATCACCAGGATCTCCTCGCCCGTCAGCAGCTCCGTCACGTAGCATCGCAGCTCCTGGTTGTCTTTGAACTCCACCTCCTGCTTTGACTCAAACACCACCATCATCTCCGCCGTCCCCTCAGGCCCCAGCACTCCCTCGCTCTTCCCTTCGTAGCCCTCCTCCTCGGGCGCGGGGTTGATCGACACCGTCTGGACCGTGAAGAAGGAAGCCGCAAAGTTGCGCTTGGGGCGGGCAAAGGCGAACTTATAGCCCAGCTGGTACTTGCCCTGGTTGCGGATGCTGAACTTCTGCGTGCTATTCTCCTTCCCCCCGTCCGCCACCCGCAGGACCCCGAAGTCAAGCCCGTCGCCGTTGGGGAAGTCGAAGACGAAGTCGATCTCGTAGGCCTCGGCGGTCACCAGGAACTCCAACTTGCTCGGCTCCTTGATGATCTCCTCCGCGTCGATCCACTCGAGCCTCACCGGCTTCTCCCACGTCCCCTTCTCTCGCGCCTCAAACCCGATGGTCACGTTCTGCGTCTGCCCCGGGCGCAGCGTGCCCTCGGTCGGCCAGACTGAGAACTCCTCGCCCACGTTAAACCCGTCCGCCTCCTCCACCCCCTTTAGGCTCCAGCGCGCTGGCAGCAAGCTCGCGTTTCTCAGCTCGATAACCCGCGAGTCCTTCCGCTTGAGCAGCAGCCGCTGGAACTCGACCTTGATGGGGCCCGAGTTCTCCTCCTCCTCCTCCTCCTCCGGCCTCTTCGAGAGGTTCGTGACGATGGTGGGAACGTCGCCAAGGCAGCTGACTCTGATCTCAACGGGCTCAGGGTTGTTGGCGATGTTGCAGATGAGCTTGTCCTCTTTCTCCCCCGTCGCCTGCGGGAACGCCATGACGGTGATGTCTCGGGTCTCCTCAGGCGCGAGGTCGAGGGAGGCGGGCTCGACGGAGAAGGTTTCTTGGTCGCGATCCAAGAGAAAGCAGAAGTCAACGTGGAGGGGAAAGAGACCTGAGTTGGTGATGCGAAACTTGTCCTGGTTCTCCGGGAACTTCTCCTTCTCCTCCCTCGACTTGCCCACCAGCAGGGGCCCGAACTCGAACGTCTCCTTGCTGATCACGTACTGCCTGCTGATGATCTGACCTGCAGCCCTCGACTTGGTCTTGCGGTAGAAGAGGCTGTGGTAGCTCTGACTTATCTGAGGATACGCGCTGAACCCGCGACATGGCAGGTAGAACTGCTTCGATCGGGTGCTCCATCCTCCCCCGACGATCTCGAAGCCCAGGAAGGACTCAAACCTCCCTGTGTCAGTCGCTCGGAAGCGAATCACAAGTTCGATGCTTGACTTCGCCTCGATCACCCATCTTGACGCCTCCGTCAGGTCCTCCTTCGCCTGCTTCGCCTCTCCCTCTCCCTCTCCCTCTCCCTCTCCCTTCTCGCTCTCCTTCGCAGCCTCTCGAGCACGAGGAGTGAGGATGTAGAAGTTGCGGATGCTCTGTCGGGGGCCTCGTCCTCCCGGTCTCATCACCATCTCCCGGTCATACGCCTTGGGCACCCTCAGCTTCTGCGCGGGTCCGCACAGGGGGAAGGGGTCAGGAAGCGACGCCGTGCCTTCAAGCACGAGGTCGCTGATCCGCTGCTTGCCCACCCGATGGAGGCGGAGGAGCTTGAGGGAGCGAGGAGGAGGAGGAGCTTCTCCTGCCTCCCCCTCCCCCTCCCCTTCCTCCCGCGCTGGCGGATCCAACAAGTCGATGATCACCTTCTGTTTCTCCATGAAAGCCTGCACCAGCTCCTCAAGGTCCTTCGCATCCACCTGATCCTCAGCTTCTTCCTCCTTGAAGCTTGCTCTCTCCTCCTCTTCAGTCTCTGCCCCTGCCCCACCTTCTTCCTCCGCCTCCTTCTCCTCGGGGGAAGGAAGACCCTCGTCCTCCGCCCCCTCCTCCAGCGTTTCTGCCGGCTCCTCCGAAAGGTTGGCATCAGCGGGCTTCGCTTCCTCGGGGCCGGTGACGTCAGAAGTTTCTTCGGGCTCGTGGGAGAGGAGGAACAAGCGAGCGTTTCCTCCTCGCATCGCCTTGTCAAGACCCTCCACCACCATCTTGACGTCAGGCAGCAAAGAAGATCCGAGGTTCGTCACCACGCACCCTCGCACGTAGGGCAGCTCCAGCAGCTTGTCGTCCAACACACTTGCGAGCAGCCCCTCACTCATCCACTCCTCCATCTCCACTACTCGAGGCTCTGCTTCCCCTTCCCCCTCCTCTCCCCGGCCGCTTTCTGCTTTCTCTCCGCCTTCTCCTTCCTCCTCTTTCGGTGGCTCGGGAGGGAAGAACGTCTCCTGCACTCGCTTTGCCGCTCGCTCAGGCTTCTTGCTGGGGTCCAGCTGCCACTTGTTGGGCACGGGAACCTTGACGGGCCCTTCCTCGCCCTCCTGCTCCTCCATGAAGGGCATCACCCCCGCCTCTTGCAGCAGCGCCTGCAGGTACTCCTCCAGGTCGAGGACGCTGACTTTGTACTTGTCCGCCAGCTGACGCGCGAAGGCGGAGGGGCTCGCGAGGGGATGCCCGAAGACAGCAAACAGACTTCGCTTGTCCTCATGCGCGTCGATGGGCTGCCGTCAGAGTCAACCAAGCGATGTTGAGAGGGAGTGAGGAGAGCCAGGGACAAGGGGAGGTGGCGGCGGTGAAGTCGAAGCAAAAGAAGAGGAGCAGGAGAAAAGAACAGGAGGTTGAAGAGGAGAACAAGGTTCACAGACTGACCTGCAACAGACCGACTGACTTGCTTGCGTCCTCCTCTTCTCGCTGCCCCTTGTCTTCCTCCTCCATCGGTGCTTGCTCGTTCGCAACTGGCTCCTCCTCTCCTTCTCCCCTCTCTCCCTCATCAGTCTCCCTTCTCTCTTCTACCTTGGGCTTCACCTTCTCGTATTCCTGCAGCACCCGCTCCTGCACTCCACTACCTGCGGGTCGAAGGGGGAGGAGAGCGACATCGGAGAAGGTGAAAGCTTCCCGCTCGTACAGGCCGTACGCTCCCATGAGCAGTTCCTCCTCCTGCAGATACTGCTCGTTGAAGTCGAGGCTGAAGAACTCGATGCTCGTCTCGCAGTCGTTGTACACCCTCACCCTCTTCTCCGTCTCCATCACATGTGGATGGATCGGCTCAAGGTCGAGCGACGGAGGGTCGAAGCGGAGCCGCAGGCTGTCGCTCTGACCCAGGAGGCGGATTACGTGCTTGTTGGGGTTCTGCGCGACCTTGAGGGGAATCCTCGCGGAGTAGGAGCGAGCGACGCGAGGGTGGAACACTACCTCAACGTTGCACGCCTCCCCGGGCGACAGCACCCCCTTGCTCGGTACAACCGTGAACTCCTGCGTGGGCTTGCTCGACCCTCCCTGCTCGGCCAGCATGGCTTGACCGAAGGACCAGGCGGCAGGAATCTCGCGAACGTTCTTGAGCTGAAGAGTGACGTGGCGGCTGTGGCCGAGGAAGACGTTGCCGAACTTGAGGGAGTCCGAGGAGATGTGGACATCAGGGAGGGTCACGTTGGCCCGGAGGAGGATGGTGACCTTGGGTCCTGACTTGACGGCGACCGGGACGGCGAGGGAGATGAGGCCGGTGGTCATGCCGGGCCTCGCGGAGTTGAAAGTGACGGAGAAGTCGACGGACTCGAAGTCTGGAGCCCCGGGGAGGCGGTTGACCTTCTCGGGCTCGACGTGGAAGCCGAACTGAGTCATGGCGGAGCGAACGGACTTGGGGAACTCAAAGGAGACGAAGCAGAAGCCAACGTTGGTCACCCGGAAGTTCCGCTGCAGCTGCTGCCCGAGGATGACGTTGCCGAAGTCGCACAGGTACTCCGTTAGAGTGAAGTCCTGCGTGACTAGCAGCGAGCTGTCTCCGCTCGTCTCCTTGCCTGGGCCTGGGGGGGCAGAGGGGCCCGTGGCCGAGGAGGAGCGCATCAGGTCCGAGTCGCCCTGCGAGAGCGACTCTTTCACGCTGCCCTGAGCGTCTCTTCCTTCCTCCTGCTGCTGCTGGTCACTGAAGACCCTGCGCACCCGCCTGTTCTCGAGCTCTTCCTCCTTCTCAGCCACGACCTGCATGATACACTCACGCATGTGGAGGCAGTCAGCTTCGGACTGCAGCTGTCGGATGAAGGGGTTGGTTGCCAGGAAGGTCTCCATCGACATGGTCAATGGGCGTGAGACGCTCGTCTTCGATCGCGCGCCCATCGCATTGCCCTCGCTCATCTCCATCGTGTCGCTCGTCCCTACGCGCGTGACGTCTGCGGCGCCTCCCTCTGTCCTGCTCGTGTCGAGGCTCTCGAGCATCGAGGTACCCAGCAGCTTCTCAGCTTCCAGTAGCAGACGTGCGAACTTGTCGGCGTCTTGGCGGGGGAGGCTGAGGAGAACCTGGGGAAAGATGCCCTTGCCTGTGACGATGACGAGCTGAGGCTCGAAGTGCGCGATCTCGATGCTGAACGAGGACGTGATGACCGTCGGCACCCCCGGCGTGATCTCCAGCTGCACCTTCACCCTGTCCGACGGCTGCACGACGCCGCTCGAGGGCGTCGCCTTGATGCGGGTGGGAGGGGCGACCTGGTCGGAGCGGACCAAGAAGTCGAACTTGACCTTGCCGGTGTTGAAGATGGTGACTTCCTCTACCGCAGGCTTGTCGTAGATTGTGTTGCCGAACTCAAGGATCGTCTTGTCAAGCTTGTACTGGATCGACGAGGCCTCGCCCTCCAGCTTCAGCTCATACTCCGGGCCCCCCTGTACCTCACACACAGCGAGCGCCTTGTACTTGTGGTTGGCATGCCCGAAGAAGATGAACTCGATGTCTTCCGACTGGCCGGCGCGGAGGAAGCTGCGGATGGGAATGATGTCGAAGATGGCGTTGACGGGCAGGGGGCTTTCTTTCTGCGAGACCGTCATCACTGTGTTGGAGCTCCCTGGCCGCTTCTTGGGGTCGTTGATGTCGGAGACGAGGAATGACCAGCAGAACTTGGCGTCTATGAGCGACGTGTTGGAGCATCGCACCTTGACGCGCTTGGACGTGTCGTTTAGGATCGCGCCAAACTTGATCTCCGTCTTGTCGAACTTGATGTTCGGGAAATTGATCGAGCCCACCAGCTCCACCACTCCCTTCTTCGGGTGCTGCCCCGCGCTCGCGTGCTCGCTCTTGGGGTTCACGTTGGGCCCCATGTTGAAGGAGACGGCAATGGTCTGCTTCACTACCTCGGAGAGGCGGTCGCCCTTGTAGGAGGGGTCGAAGTTGACGAGGACGGGAGCTGACTGGCCGGGCTGGAGGTCAAGGTCCGAGGGCTCGATAAAGAAGGGGAGGCCGGAGCACTTGAGAGAGCACTCGAGAGGAAGACTGCAGACGTTGGTGATGGTCACGGATTGCGAGAGGTCTGAGCCTGCGGGGGTGTCGGGGGAGTAGAAGAAGTCGAAGGAGAGGGAGGGCTGGGAGAAGTCGCAGGCGGGGTCAATGAAGTCAGTGGTGACGGTCAAGACGATGATGTCGCGTTGCTCCTTCTCCATCTTGCTCTTGCAGCTCAGCTTCTCCGTCACTCGCCCTGCTTTCTTGCTCATCCCGATGATCTCCACCAGGGCGCTCGCCCCGGGCTCGAGCATGTAGGGCTCTCGGAGCCCGTTGATCTCCGCGTGGAAGAACTCTGGCACCGACAGCTCAGCGTCGTCCTTCTTCTTTCCCTTCTTGTTTGCATCGTTCTCCGCGTTCAGCGCCTTCAGCTTCGTCAGCGTCTCGTGGGCGCTCAGGTTGTACCATGACAGCGTCTGAGGTTTCGGCCCGTCGTTGGTGATCATGAAGGAGCGGCAGCAGGGTCGGCACGTGAACTGCTTGCCCATGTCGACCTCCGGCTGCTTCCCGAGCTCCAGCTCCTTCGCCCGGATGGTCGTCCCGATCCCCCTGGCTAGCAGCGGTACTTTGATTTCGCCTCCCTCCTTGACCACCAGGCACAGCTCGTCCTTCATGTGCTGCGTGTCGTCGAGGTTCGCTACCACCTTGATCGTTGTCGCCTCGCCGGGGCTGAGGGTGGCGGACGAGGCATCGACGCGGAAGCGACTGTTCCTCTTCATCACCAGCGCCCTGAACTCTGCGGGCACCAGCGAGTCATTCTTGACCTTCACCGTCTTCTCCGAGTCCTTGAGCACGTCGATGTCGCCCCAGTTCAGCTTCGTGGGCGTCAGCGTGAGCCGCGGGCCGATGCCCCTGGCGATGCACTGAACCTCGAGGGGGTGCTCCTCCTTCCCGACAACGACGAAGAACATGGGCAGCTGAACCTTGTCGAGCCTCTCGGTGGTGAAGGAGACGGTGAGGACTCGCTGGCTGTAGGGTTCGATGGTCCCCTTGCTGTAGTCAAGCTCGTAGCGAGCAACGCACTTGGAGATCTCGTCCTGCTGCTGCAGCTCGAATTTGGCGGGGAGGTCGGAGTGGTTGACGAATTCGATCATCTTCTTGTAGGGGTAGCGCAGGAAGCATTCGCCGAAGTCAAGCTCTGCGTTGGAAACCGTGACGTCGGGGACGATCGAGAGACCTTTGAGCTTGATCGCCGCGAGCTCCTCTCCCACTCCCTCGATGTCCACCACCAGGTCCAGGTTGTAGTCTCGAGCCCCCAGAGGCATGAGGTCCACCTGGATCTTCTGCTTCCCGTGCGGGAGGATGGTGCCTGTCTCGGGTATCATCTCAAACTCGCGCTTGAGGAGGGTTCCGTCCCCAGGGACTCGCACGAGGAAGTTGAAGGGGATGTCGGAGGTGTTGAAGAGGTGGAAGCTCCTCGAGGTCACGAAGGCGACTGAGCAGCGGCTGAAGTTCAGCAGCTCCTCGTCCACGTGGAACGTCGGCCCGATAACTTTGCCGCGCATGGAGAGATGGAGGGGGAGGGGGGTGCCATAGAGCGACCAGCTGAAGTCTTCGCTGAACTCTCCCAGGATGTCCGAGGAGAAGAGAACCCTGATCTCCGCCTTCTGCCCGACGCCCAGGACGCCCTTGGAGGGCTCGAAGGTGAACTTAGAGCCGAAGACGGAGTCGCAGGGAAGGAGCTCGAAGTAAGCCTCGATCTCCCCCTGGTTCACAAGCTGGAGGTCGTACTCGCTGACCGAGTTGATGAACACCTCCCCGATGTCCATCACGTTGTAGGAGAGGCTGACCTTGGGCCCGATGCCTCTTCCTTGAAACTGAATCTGCAGGCGATTCTCTTTCCCCGCGATGTCGCAGAAGGCGACGGAAGAGACCTCAGTCGCTGAGGAGGGCGTGAACGTAACGGTACACTCGAGCTCTGAGTTTGCCCAGACCTTGCCATGCAGCGGCTCGATGGCGAACGAGTCGTCTTCGAACAACATCCTCTTGTTGTCCAGGACCGCTGAGTCCGTGCTCAAGTCTCCCACTGTCCATCCGTTCTCCTCGTGGTGCCTCGCCTTTGCCTCCTCGTACGCACTCGCAAACCGTTTGAAGCAGAACTCAACCGTCTCGTCACTCCGGTTGAGAATCCTGAACTTCTTCTGCGAGAAGAGGGAGACGTAGGTCGGGGCCATCAGCACCGCGTGCGAGTCAAGCCGCACGGCGATCTCCTCCGCCTCCGCTCGAGCACGAATCAGCACAGTCTCCCCGCTAGTATACCTCACGTGAATTTCACCATGAACGTCTCCGTTCCTCGTCGGCGTGACGAAGAACGTGATCTGCAGGCTCTGACCCGCGTCCACGATCGCTTGAGGAGGCTCGGCTCGAAAGGGCTCTGAGCAGGAGAGGGAGAAGGTGCATGAAACCTCCCCTATGTTGCGCACTAGGATAGTCTTGCTCCCTTCTGCCTTGACTGGAACTCCCTCGAAGACGATCTCGTCAGGAAAGTCTAGCCAGCCGCGCATGCCGTACGCCCTCACAGGGATGACGAACTTCTCACGCTCAGTGCAGCAGACGAGGTCGCAGAAGTAGTCGATTCTCTCTTCTGGGGTGAAGACCAATGTGTATTGCACATCCATGCCTGGAGCTATCTTGCTGGCAGCAAGCTTGTCGGAGAGTTCGACGTCGAAGAAGTGACTCTCAGGGCGAAGGATCTTCACTCTCCTCGCAACGTCGTCGTTGTTTCTGAGGCTGATGGATACCTTGATGACGTCCAGCGCCTCAAACTGGCGGATAACAACTGATGAGGGAGACGCTTGGAAGATTGGCTCGTCCACGGGGACGATGGATTTGACTTGATGGGTGTAGTCAGACATGTTGAGCAGCTCTATGATGGGAGGAACGTCAGTCTTCCCGCTAATCGCCACTGAGTTCATCTGCATCAGTTGACTTGTGGTCATGATGCCCTCTTGTGCCAACTCTCCTGACATGCCGCCTGTGCGGGTCTTGGCATACTTTCCGCCAGGGTTCGAGGGAACAGTCACTACATTCTTACTGTCAAGCGTTCCGCCCAGTGAAACCTTTGATTGCTTTCGAGACATTGCTCTGGCGAGGAAGGACAGGAAACGATGTGTAGCTCAACGGTTGGAAGAAAGAACCAAGAGCTTACGTGGTTGTGAGCTGCTTCCTTGGAATATGCAACGAAGTAGACGAGGAGAGAGCAGCTGGACGAAGAGGTCAGTCCAGCAAGCAGATGTCAAGTGAGAAGGGACAGGCTGGCGTGAATTGTTTTTGATGTGCACGGGACGAGTGAGTGACGATGAGAGGAGGCAGGCAATGAAGGAGGATCGGGGAACGAGAAGGCAGCAGGTCCAGGAGGTGAGAGGAAGATGAACTCAGCATGCGACCAACAGCAGCATGTGCGACATGCCTCACCTCTCCACTTCTCCCCTCGCGCCATCGCCTTCCGTTGGACTTGCAGTAACTGCCAACGTAACGCCAATACTAGTCACTGAGTGGCAATGACCGGGCCGGGGCCCGGCCGGGCCCCGCGGCAGGCCGGTCGGAGGCCGCGCCCGGCCGCGCACTGCCGCACCGCCGGGCACGGCCCAGTCAGCGGCTCGGACTCGGAGGGGCCGCGGGGCATATCATCGCAACGTACAACACTATCCAATGCACACCCACAGGGCCACCCGGCCGCCGTCACAGACAAGCAGGGAGAGTCAAGCAACAGTCACAGTGCCGCTAGGAGGGGTAACGGTTGAAGCAGCAGGGGGTGAGTTTTACTCGCACAAGGTAAAAAGTGCGAGTCAAGCAAAACAAACGGCAGCAGGAGGGGACTGCGTCCGAGATGAATCCCGGGCCCTTAGACACGACACGATACCCGGAGGCATCCGGCAGACAGGCTCGGAGCACTGTCAGACGAGACCGTACGTCCGCTCAGTGACGGTGCCACCGCCGCAAAGCTGGCGGCCGCGGACGGAGAAAGGGCAGCCGCCGACAAGGAGCCCGGGCGCTGCCCGGGGGTCCGCTCGAGCCTGTAACCGTGGACGCATCCAGTCCTCCAGGAGTCATGGTTACTTTTGGTCTTGTTTGTTTTTTGTGCCACCGTTTTTGTGCAGCTTAGCTTGTTCCTGCTGCCACAAAGCTGGCGGCCGCGGACGGAGAAAGGGCAGCCGCCGACAAGGAGCCGGCGTCTGCCCGGGGGTCCCGGCCCCCGGCCGCCTGGGGCGGCAGCCTGAGCGGACGGAGGGAGGCTGGACACAGGAACACGGTACCGCTCGAGGTAGTCCTCCTCCGAGGCTAGCCTCCGAGTCAGCGGTAGCCGAGACCAACACCGCCCGTGACGGCGGCGACGCCGCGGCAATGCGGCCAAGGACCGGCGGGACCCGACCGATGCCGGGGAGGAAGCAGGCGAGCTCGGACCAGCAGCAAGCACCCCAGTGGTGTCGAGCTTTCCGGAGGCATCCGCGCGTGACGTCACAGTGAGGGACGGAGACGCCTCGCGAAGGCTCCTCCTCGGGCGACTGGACAAAGTCCGAGGAGGAGCTGTCCTCTGGCTCGAGAAGTGCCCGGCATCGCCAGACCCGGCATCGCCAGCCGTGTTGCCAACCCCACAGTGCTGGTGAGTTTGGATGCAAAGAACGCCTTCAACTCCCTCGACCGCCAGGCTCTCTTCGATGCAATCGAGGGACGTGCAAGTCGCGACTACTTTGATCTAATAGGATTTACTGGCAGAAGGTAAAAAGTGCCTCAAGCAAAACAAAGCAGGAACAAGCTAAACCGGCATGTACACAGTTTGATGGGAGCATCACTGAAGGCGCAAGCTTGCCCTCTTGCGAGCATCTCCGTTTGTTCGCCTCCTACCTCTCCAGCTACTATGGAGACTCTGCTGACCTTCGACTCTTTCACAAAAGTCAGTCAGCCTCCGT